TACAGCCAGGCGGGGACGGCCTCTGCGTCTGCATCGCTTTCCACATGCCGCTTTGAAGGTGGTGCTGGAACTCGCTGAGCTGCGCGAGGTCGAGACAGCCCATCATCTCTTACGGGAGACGGCCCCCATGAACGCACTGAAGCAGGCGAACCCCGAAAGGCGCTCACGAGAAATTTTTGGGGTGGAGATGTGGGGCCTCAAGCAGGCCCTGTTGGGTGTGTCAGGTATTTGCGAGTTGAGGCGCCGAAGCTGCACTGAAGCTTGGCCTGCTTTTGCAGTATTTTGTCAGCACGCTGCGGTGGCTGAGGCTCTAGTCAAGAAGCACCATTTCGACGCATCGGAAGCTTACGAGGGCATGAGCAAGGAGAAGATCCGCGGAAACCTTGCCCAGAGCATAAGCAACCTGCCTGCAACAGAGGAAGTTGTTTGCAGCGTTGCAGCCCCATCTTGCTGGAGAGCAGATATCGGCACAAATCATCCCTACGTAGCCGAGGCAAGCACGTCCAGGACCGCTCTTTTTTCTACGAGCTTCTTGTATCTGAACTGGCTCATGGGGCCACATACGCCTTTCAGACACAGGTGGCTCCTCCATCACGGCTGCTGGCGCTCGTCGGTCAGGCTATGAAATGGCAGCAGCATGTGGGCCTTCTCCCAAAGAATGCTGCTTGCTGGCATCAAGTACGGCCTTACTGGTGTTTTGCCTGCACATCACCTGTCACTAGTTGCCACCTCTGTAAATTCTGGGATTTCCTGCTACAGGGGTTCGGATGGGCCCGCGCTCCCCAATAGCAAAACCACATTTGACCCTCGATGGTGTTCTGCACGTGGATGCCTTTGGTGGTTTCTGAGTTGCTTTGCTTTTGTGGTGGGTGCAATCTCCTGCGCCGCATGTTCTGCCATGCAGTTCCCACACCTTGCGGGTAGACGTGCGGAGCCCTGAATCCTGGATGTTTCTGCTGTGGTTTAGGCACATCTGTTTCTGTTCCTGTTGCGGATGGTTCGTGCTATCTCGGCGAGACAACGCATCCAAAATTCATTCACTCGGGGTGAAACGTGGGCGGCGATCCCAGAAGGACATGGCTCCCGTAAGTGGTCGCTCGACGGTATCTACCCCTCCGCGACACGAGGATCTGGAGCAAAAGTGGCAACCTCCGACAACATAACTAAGCCTTCATCAGCATCAAAGGCGGGGAGGCAATCAAGGGGCCTGCGGCACAAGCACCGGGTCGATGCACTTCGAAGTCCTTCCACCTGCCAGCTGCCGGCGGAGCTGGGACTCGCTTTCAGCCACAGCCTCCATGATCTCTGGGATCGTAAGTGGTGGTATGACGGCAGCCCTACGAAGGATCGGTCCTCTTCAGGTGCATCCGCACCCTTAACACCAGACCATCGTGCCTGTGACAGGGCAGGCAATACGTAACTGGAGCGAAGTGCCGAGCCTGGGCACATCTAGGGTTTATTCAAGAGGTGAGAATCTGCCCCGAAAGCGGTTAAGCCCCTGTTTCGGGCTCGGCGCAGGCGCTGGAGTCTGGAGAAACCGTGAAGTTTGAATTTGCAGGCATAGCTTTTCGAAAGCGACCCGGGAGAAGACATATGCAGCACTTGCAGCTGGCTTTGAACTTAGGCTTGCAAGCAGTCTGTAAGCTGAACCTTTTTCCAGTAGATTCTGTGCGAGTCCACTCGGCAGTTGTTGCAAACGGCTTGATGGTCTAAAGGCCGGGGAATAATCGCCGTTTCAGCTGGATGCATGGGGGCTCGCCGGTGGTGGATTGTAAGGGTGCTACATCAGTGGACTCGCCACTGAAAGCGATTGAAAGCTGGAAGCTAAGGCGAGGATTGACGTGTTCAGAGGCGTGGCCAAAGATGCCGAGGTCGAGGCCGAAATGTGCCCGACCATGGTCGCAAGGACTGTGCCTTGGTTGAACATGGGTGTGTGGTGTTTATGAGTTCTTCATGTGGATGCTGCGAGGTGAAATTCGGCTCGAAATCTCACCCAGAATGTGTGACATTCTCGCCGGATGGCCAGTTCTGCGTGTCGGGTTCTGTCGATGGCATGGTGGAGGTTTGGGATCATCAGACCGGCACTCTGAGGAAGGATCTCCAGTATCAGGATGAGGGCAGCTTCATGATGCATGATAAGGCTGTGATCGCTGTGGCCTTCAACAAGGAGTCTGAGCTGCTCGCCACCGGCTCCCAGGATGGCCAAATCAAAGTCTGGCGCATCGCCACAGGCCAGTGCGCCCGGCGCTACGAGAAAGCCCACAGCCAAGGGATCACCTGCATCACCTGGGCCAAAGACTCTTCGCAGCTGCTCACGGGTTCCTTCGACTTTACGGCCCGAGTGCATGGAATAAAATCTGGGAAGACGCTGAAGGAGTTCAGAGGACACAAATCCTATGTAAACTCGGCAGTGTACACAAAAGACAATGCTCGTATTGTCACGGCTTCGTCCGATGCCCGGCTGCCTGGAACATGTCGCATGTCCAGTCCTTTTTTTTGACAGCGCTCGGCTTCGGCCATCTTCCGAGGATAGCCATGTCATTGTCTACGATGCCAAGACCACAGAGATCATCAACACGATCACGCCCCCTCCGCCGTCTCATTGCAGCTCCATCATGGACTACTCTGTGAACGCTGTGTCTCGGCGAAGGGAAGGTTTCTTTGAAGGAGCTATCGGGGAGACGGGGGTGTGGTGAAAGCAAGCCGCAACCTCGAGGCTATAATGGCACCGAAGATACCAGGATACAGCGAGCACGAGGACCTAATCTTCGAGCCTTAGAGAGCATAACATGTTCTTGCAGGTGAGATTCCTGTCTGCTAGCCAAGCATCGGAAGCTAGTGTGGCAAAGCCTGGCCTGAGGTGTGCACTCGAACCAACACAATTCTGTTTCTCTGCAGCACATGGCCTCTTGCGTTGAGATGCTCTCATGCCTTCCGTGCGCCGTTGATAGCCGCCTAGCGAGTGGCGCCGTCATCCTGGACATCGTTGACATTCATTTTCCTTCAAACGGACGCATCTTTGTTTGCATGCACGGGTGCATGTTGGTTCGTTTGTGCTCCCAGGGCGGTCTCATGCTCTTTCTATAACGTTTGCTCTGAAAGTTGCCTAGCATGCCTTTCTAGAGGAGTTTCCTCCCAGCGGTCATGATGGTTCATGCATCTCAGTTTCGTGGCAGTTTTCGATCAGTCCACTGGGACTTGTCTGTCAAGGTCTGAGTCATCGGCGCAGCATAGACGACAGTACCATTACCCTAACAGCAAACCACTCGGCTAGGCTTGCTTTTGGTTCCGTGAGCAGACACCAAGTTTGCAGTTTTGAGTTTCGATTGGGATCCCAAAGCAGGCCTGGCCTCTGAAAATTCACCGAAAATGCTTGTTCCTGTTCGTCAGAGCCGTTGGCCGCGCCGGTTGACCCTGCACACTTGTGTCATCTTGTATCTGTTGTGAGTGTTACAGAGGCCCGGTGCTTGAGAGAACTCTGGGAGGGAGCTTCGTTGACAAGCTTCGCTGAACAAACCAAGTTGTCAGCCTCGACAGTCTCTGATGGCTTGCTTCCTCTGCGTGGCAAGCGAGGCTGATGAACCTCGCTGGGCAGGCCGGCCACGGCTTGTTTATACAACTGTTGCAGAGATTGTCCAAGCTAAATGGCGCCTTGGTTCCTCAGCCTTGTTTCAATATAACGAAAGGTACTGAAAAGTTTCTGCTCTGGAAAGCGCGACAAAGGCGATTTTGTCGCAATGACGCCCTGCCTGCATTTGGTCAGTGACACAACACACCGAGCAAACGGCACGGGAATTTGCAGCGTGGTTCCCCCATAAGGACGACATCTCCGAAAGGCGAATGGCTGTATGGGGTGGCGGAGGACAACACAATGTAACTTGGCTCTGGGGAAATGCATACATGCTTCGGATATCACCACTTGCCGTAACTTAAAGCATAGGAGGCTTCAGTTGTAAAGCATCTGGCCAGCGGATGGGGCGAGAGCATACAATTCATTGCGAGGTACTGCTTCTCCGTGGCATCGGGGTCCCTCGAGCAGACATTGAAGGTGGCGGAGAAGGAGGCGGGAATGGCATTGAAGAGAGAAGACTGTGCTGATTGCCGCAGAAGTCGTGTTGGTCCAGGTCATCGGTATCGCACACCATCCCTCTCGCAACGTGATAGCCGGTTTCGCTGGTGATGGCTCCATGGTCTTTATGAAGGCATGAAGTCTCGGCGAAATCCAGCCGAAAAAGATGCACCGGCACGGAAATAGATTCTGTGTTGAGAGAGACTCCTCTACACACATGGGCAAGCCAAGAAGAGATAGATGAACGACCTGTGTCAGGTCGGATTCTCGCTCGAGAGGGGAAGGGCCAGACATTTCTCGCAGCATCTATGTCAACAAGGACGCTGCTCCATACGGTCTTGACATACTTCATTTGGCAGACATCGCGGTGCAAGGATCCTGCAGACACTGCCGTGGGTCTCTCCCCTGGCGCACAGAGCACCCCAGCTGCAGAGAGCACGCCAGATCATAGCGCATGGCATCCCAAGCCGCTAGCAGCCGCTAGCATTCGTGTCGTCCCCAAGGCGACGATTGCTACGAGGCGAATTTTGTTGCAGAGCTTCAGCGGGGAACTCCTGAGTGACGCAGGTGCCCCAGGAGACACCACCTTTGCGCAAAGGACGAGAGCAACGGCAAAGCAGTGGCTGGGATGCGCTTACAGCCGTGTGTCGTGCGCCATCCTGGCTGCAATTTTATGTCCTCGTGGCACAGGTATGTCTCGCAGCCGCAGTTCTCGAGGAGGTGACTTCTGTTGTTCTTATCTGCTTGATTCGACCAGCTCCGACAAGTCTTGACATCCGCTGCTGTTTCAGCTCATGCCTGTGTTTTTGGAAAGTTTCTTCAAGGACAAGTCTCTTTTTGGATACCCAGCAAAGTGGCTGGTGAGTCGAAAAAGCAGTGAATGTCCGTCATCATGATTGTCTCTTCCCGCTAGCAAACAGCAACCCTCGACATGCTTGGCTGGCGGCACTTTTGCCTGCTGCCTGGTGTTGCCTTACTGGCAAGCCCACGTCTGCAGGCTCCCAGTTTGCAGGTGTAAGGCCAAGCTTGGCACACACACACACACACACGCGCACATGTCGTAAAGGATGATTGCAGTCATGGTTGGCAACATGAGACAGGATATTGATGATGAAGACAAAAATTGAGATGTATATTCTATTGCCAAATATGCCAAACATAACATACAAAACAAGACAGAATGAGATGATCCGTGAGGGTGTGGGTCCTGCCCTCTGAATCACACAGCACGAAATGAGATGACAGTGAAAAAGAAGATGGGTGCCAGCTGTCCCTCAGGACACATGCACAGGCAGTGCAGTTACGTTTTAGTGGGGTGTCCCTACACCCCTTCCGTGCCCCTGCATGAGCAATGAAAACGTAAAAGAGAGGGGCCGTGATCTCCTTAGCCCATGAGCGAGGACAGTTCGCACACAGACAACCGCACACACGCACACACAAACACAGACAGACAGAGACAGACAGAGACGGACACAGACAGAGACATTGACAGACATGCCAACGCCGACACACATACAACATGCTCGCTCAGGCAGGTCTGCATGCGTGCGGCTCTGCACTTTCCGTAGCTGGTTTGAGGCGCTTGGCATGCGGGTTCATGACGTGGTGCCATTGCCATGTTGCCTTGAGAAGGCGTGACGCCTCCTGCTCGCCGGCGAAATTCCTCATGCACGTTGAGATTCTCCAGGCGCCAAGGTATGCCGATACCTGCAGGAAACGGAAAATTTCAGAAATTTCAGAAATTTCAGACGAATATGCAGGAGCTTCGTGCAGATGCCGCCGCTCCTGTGGACCGGAAAGGGGCCGGGGCCGTGGCACTTTCCGGACACCAGGGTGAGCATCAGGAGCTCATCCGACTGCCTCCTGCTGGTGCTGCTGGCGTTCTATTCTGAAATGATAGAGGTCTTCCTCACAGCGTTGTGTCATCTGCGAGGACAGTAGCTTTGAGGTCCTGGTGGCGGTGATGCTCTCGGCACAGACCAAGGTGCACCGACTGCGTTCAGCTAAAGCAGAACTGTCCATGAAGCACCAGGATGGCGTCACATACAAGACAATGCAAGATCTCCGGGCACATGGTCTTAGTGCACAGAAAATCGTGGATATGCCGATTGAACGGCTCACCAAGCTTGTCGGAAAGGTGGAGGGCAAGCTGGAAGTGGCTAGCACGGCAATATTTTGATCTTTTAATGACGACCTGCCCCTAGCAGGTCAACTACCACCGCCGCAAGGCTGTGTACATGAAGAAGACTTCGCAGCTATTGCTCGAGAAGTATTCGGGCAGTGTCCCAGATCAACTCTGTCAGCTATTGGAGCTTCCAGGTGCCGACGTTTAGAAACTTTCCACAGACTTAGCGGGGTCGACACGTAGTAGACAAGTGCCGTGGATGGCAGATTCAACTAATTCTAACAAAGGCCAGTCGAGCTATGCTGGCAGGTGTTGGCGAGAAAACTGCCTTGTTGTACTTGCAAGTGGCCAAGGGCAAGGTGGTAAGGGAGCATGAAATGTAAATGCGTGCATTATCTTTGTGTTCCGGCGTCCTGCCAGGTGGAGGGCATTGCAGTTGATACCCATGTGCACAGAATTGCTAATGCTTTGGGCTGGACCGGCTCGCCGACGAAGACTGCACAGCAAACACGGCGCCAGCTGGAGAAACGAATTCCTCGACGAATGTGGGGGATGATCAATCCGCTGGTAGTTGGAGCTCTGGACTTATGAGTGCTCGCTGCATCTTTTGCGAGATTTTTGTGTTTGGTAGACTGTGTTGATGTTCGTGGATATGTGTACCGTTCGTATTTCCTGGGTGAGGATTTGGCCAAGAGCTTCGGGAGAACAGGTCTGAACTTCTGCGAAAGTGCCTTGCATCCAGCAACCCACGTCTAGCCTTGCAGCTGCTGGCCGACTGTGGGATGAAGGTGCAGAGGGAGTGTCTTTGCTGATCAGTAGTTTTGTTCTTCACCATCGCCCAGGAACTAACCCTTCTATAGCATTATGTGCAATTCCTAGCATTGATGTAATCAAGCTTTTCCCTTATTAGGCTCGCTTATGACAGACATGATCCAAGGATGGAGAAAGCTGGGTTGGAAACTCAGGACTACGCAGGATGAAACTGCCGCATGTCACGCACGACGAGCGTCAGCAGCAGAAACGTGCACTGCGGGCTTTGAAGAAGATCTTCTTCGAGCAAGTTGCAGTTCGCCATGGGCCTTTATGGATTCAGGCGACGTGGGGAGCTTCGCGGTGACATCCCAAGTGTGCACCGGCAACAGCAAGCTGCCAAAAAGGGATGAGCTGGAAGCACCTTCTCGCTATCTTGAGCAGACCAGGGCGAGATTTCTCGTGCAGCGCAGCAGAGCAAGCTACCCTGGACCAGAAGAAGCAAAGTCGGAGAAAAGGCAGTGGGACCTTCTGCACGGCCCCTTTGATTCTGTGATGGTGCCAGCAGACCACAAAGCATCTCCAGGTTCGGAACTTGACAGATCTGCGTCACCCGTGCCAGTGCCCCAGTCCTGACGTTCGTGGCAGTGTCCTCATTTCTCCAATCGCTGCCTTGGACTTCTGGACATTGGTGCACGGTGCCATGGCGCACATCTGTGTTCCAGCTTTCCCCCACCCGTGTGCCATCGACATACCGTCGAAGAGGCAGCATCTGCCAGTCCTTTTAGGAGAAATGACAAGGGTGGCGTGGGCATGCTTTTTGTGGCGCCGCGATGTCGTCTCGGAGCGTACTGAAGTCGTTTCATGGCGATGCTTTGCTCTACTGTGCCTGTGAGTGTGCAGCTTTGCTCAGGTCCGTGGGCTCCTCTGTGCTGGAGGCCCTTCGTCCCAGCTCGACTCGGAATGGGGGTGGTCAGACTCGCGTTTGTGCAGGACGCCGAGGGTTCGCCGAGCAAATCTGCTCCACCTGGCACTTCAGAGGTTGGCGAAGTCATGTGTGCAGTCGAACGGTGCTGGCAAATCTGAACATGTGCCTCAGGCTATGCAGGGAGCACATAGGTGGGCAGAGTTGTCTGCCCTGCTCCGTGCACCGAGCTTTGAGATAGACGCTGTTGCAGGACGATGAAGAGTTCTGGCCAAGCCAGCTGGCTGAGATGTGCGTTTTGCTCTGTGGTGGTCTGATCGGTGTCCGTTGCGTATTCATTCAAGCCTTACCATTTCAGCAAGAAGTAGTATCCGCGAGCAGCCCTCGCTTCGAAAACATGGGCGAGTCTCTGCGATTCGCTTTCGTTATGCCGCAGCTCGGTGCGTCCCATTCTACTCGTAATTACGACGTTTTCACATGTTACGTTACGTTTGCGGACTTGAGTGCCCAACCGAGGATGGCAACCGGACATCTGAACCCTTCCCTGCCCCTGGCCCGCTCCTTGATCCAGCTCGGGCATGAAGTTCACTACTTGTCTCGGGCGCGGTCCTGAGTCCTCAGAATCGGGACGGGATTCTTGTCCCTCGCTGGAAAGTTCTCGTTTCAGGAGGCAGTTCGAGCTGCAATTGAGAAAACGGGCGCAAGCTTCACGGATGCTGCTGAGGTGGCCAGGCACTGTTTTTTTGACGCAGCCGAGTTAGCACAGCCCGCTGTCTGTCCTCGAGCGGTTGGGTTCGTGTCGCTGGCTTCGAGTAATGCCAGGAGCAAGTGGAGCTTTACGAGAATCGCGAGCAGGAGCGCCGAAACCCAATCCGAAGTGAAGGGCATAGCGGCGTATCAGCCACAGCCCTGGCAGGACATCATGGGCGCATTTCGCACAGTGGCAAGGGAGCACGGCATGGAAGACGTTGCTCATCTTGGGTTGGACGATGTAAGGGCCACACACCTGAAGACAGGCAGTCAAAAATCACTGGTGCTGAGGCACCGATGATGGTTGGCATCTCCACCATATCTCCGATTCACCTGGAACTTCAGCTGCCTGGGACCATCCGCTGGCTTCAGCGATTGCAGCCACACGTGGTGCTCTTCTGTCCAATGATGACCCACAAGCAAAATTTGAAGCAGGTTCAGATTTTGAGGGCAATTGATTGTTTCTTTTCCCGCGCTTAATTTTCCATGTTGGAGTGTCGGTAGCAGAGGAATGCGGAGGCTGTTTATGCCGCCAAGACCCTCCAGATACCCTCAGTGGGCTTGTGGACTTTTGCGGGTCCCGGTGGCATGGTCGGCATCTTGAACATGTTCCTGAAACAATCTGGAATTCCCATGGAAGAGGTTATGGCCCGAGTCGAGGCATTTCAGCCGATGAAGGACTCCATGGCGAGGCTCAAGGAGAACTACAACGTCACCTACGACTTCAGCAAGTCCATGTCGCCAATGGGCTTCCTAAGCACGATGTGCGAAGCAAATTTCAATTTGATCACCACAGCCGAAGAGTTCCAGGATCCTTTTCCCGGCGAGTTGTCTCGGGCTTATGTGGAGGCCGGGGCGAAGTTTGAGTACGTCGGTCCTTTGTTGGAAGATGACGTTCCGGAGCTCGAGCTTGAATCCGAGAAGGCCATGAAGGCCGTGGCTGAGGCCCGTTCTGTGGGCCGCAAGGTGGTGCTCGCCAGCATGGGCACCATTTTAGTTTCGGACACGGATGATGTGGGTTGGCGTGATGTGCCACGGGACGGCTCAGAGCGGCCCCGTGGGCTGACTGGCAAGCAACTGTGTCAGGCAGCTTGGAGCGCCGTCTTCGATGCCTTCGGTGCTACTGATGAGGCCTCTCAGGCCCCGCTGCTGATAGTCGCCGTTGGTCGGCAGCCGGATGCGCTGACCGACATAGACATCCCCAGAAACGCTCTCTGCTTGCCGGTTCTTCCTCAAGTTCCACTGTTGAAATCAGGCGTGAACTTGTTCTTGACCCACGGCGGCCAGAACAGCTTCATGGAGTCCCTGTCTGCTGGGGTGCCAGTGGTGGTTTGCCCTGGCTTCGGGGACCAAGCGGTTAACGCCATGAAGGCTGAGGCGATGGGAGTAGGCCTTCAGGTGCAGAGGCCACTTCCACCACATGGAGAGGAAATGACTGCCATCGCCAGCTACCGTGCGGACGTTTCTGCTGCTTTGGTCAGGACTTTGCAGGAACCTCAGTTTGCCGAGAAAGCGCGGCACTGCAAGGAGTGTCTGCGAAACGCCGGGGGGCTTTGCAAAGCCAGAGAGCTTCTGTTCGGGCTCGTCGGCCAGTCCTTCCCGAAGCTCCTCGGACACGCCCCACCGGTTTCACCTAAAAGCGCAAAGGCGTCAGATGTGCCCTGCGCGAAGTCACTTCCAGCTGAAACCTCGGCACCGCCTTAGTGGGTTTCGTACCTTTTTCGCTGGGTGGTTTTGTTCACAATTTTCAATTTCGCAATGTTTGAAACAGAATTAGTCAATTAGTCGACATGCACAGTCAGTCGACCCTGGCTGGAAAGCCAGGAGTGCTTGCAGGACCTCCGTCTGTTGGACAGAGGTTGCAGGATGTGCAGGAACTTGGAGATGTTTGGGTGCATGGCCGCCCTCACCAGAAGCTTTGGGCTTCACATTGCACGAAATGGCCCAGCTCAGAAACGCAGCAAAGCTTGCATCTGACGCAGCCGCGTGAACTGGTGGCGAAAGGAACGCGTCAAGGACGGACTTGACTGCATTCTGACAATCATTCTGCTATACTTCAGACTTTGCGTTGCACTCTGCAATCGTGTCCTCTTCCTCTCAGTCTCCGGAAGCTTCTGAGGCGACGAAGCGCGGAAAGAAGAAGGCAGAGGGATGAACCCGAAGCGTGAAAAGTCGCCAAACGGGCCTTTGAAATTCCAGGTGCGGAGACGAGTGGCCAAAGTGCCCTCACTGCCTTCTGCGCCGGTCGCACAGACGGCACCGCCTTCGCCTTCGCCGCCGCCCGCGCCGCCCGTGCCGGCCGCCCGGCCTCGCGGCGGCACTGCGCCTTTGCTGCCCGCACAGGCCCAGGCCCAGGCTCTGCGAGAGGGGGAGGGAGACAGAGAGAGAGGGAAAAGCGCAGGGCCAGGGGTTCCCTCGCCACATAACCCTTGCGAGAGAGAGGGAGGGAGAGGGAGAGCGAGAGAGCGCCTCGGGGAACTGGGTCTGCCAGTGTCTCAACCTCGAAGCAAAGCAAAGCAAAAGAGCGCCTCGGCCTTGAGCTAAACGCCGTCGGTTCAACGGCAGTCGCGACTATGCAAATCTAATCGCGTCAACAATTTCGACCGACCCTATTACTCTCCAATTGCTTCGCCTGCCTCGACCCAACTTTCACAGGAGAAGCCTCTTAGAGGAACTAGAGAGAGATGCTTCTCTGCAGTGTAGGTTGAACGTTCGCACCGACGCAGACTTTGATGCCATTTTGCAGTGCTCGAGCGCTGTTAGACAAGCCTCAGAGACCGCGGCAATCATGGGATTCGGAGGCTTGGAAGGGAGCAGCTGCAGCAACAAAGTGTCATGATCTGAGCCCTGGGCCTAAGGCAATGGCAAAGGCTGGGGGGGATGGGGCTGGGCACCGCCGATGATGTGGTTCAAGGGCTTCGGCAAGGGCAAGGGCTTTGGTCGTCGTCGCGGCCCTCGGAACCTTGTCGGAACCGGATTCCAGAAGCTGCTACTGGTGTACGCATGGCGGCACATAGATGTGTGTGGAGGGGCTTGTCGTGAGGATTGAGCCTGAGATGAAGCCTTGGGCTCAGATCTGACTGAGTGAGCTTGTTTTTCGGCCGCGCCTGCACCCCTGGGCGCTTAGATCCTGGCTTGCAGGATCTGGATTGGCAACCTCCCCGAGGATGCGACCTGGAAGGATCTGCAGACCCTGGGAAACACCGCGGGCGCCACCCGCTGGGTTGAGGTCTTCCGTGGCAAAGGCACGATATTTGGAGGTAATATGAGGTAATGCTAGGTCTGCTAGGTATAGGAATTGAAGCTCGTTGAAAGTCCTGGAGTCCAGCACAGGCAAGGGCACGGGTATGATTGCCTACAAGACGGCAGAGGAGGAGCGCTCGTGGATCTCGAATTGGCTCAGCCTGTCCCGACGCTAACTCTGAGCTCTTTGGCAGGTGGCTGTCGCGATGCAATCTCTGCCCGGCCAAACGATCAATGGCCAACCGATCCAGGCGAGTACTCGGTGACAAAATCTCACACTGACGCGCCTGTAGAAGAAGTATTGCCCTAGCACTTTAAGCTCAACCTTTCCAGGTCGATTCTTGGCAGAAGGCCCCACCTGCTCCGCCGGCGTAGCAGTCGACTCAGGGCCATGGTATTGGGTAGGTGGGTGGAGGTGTTACGGGACCTACATTCTACTGCAACATGGATCACCACACATCACAACACCAGTGTTCACGGAATTGAGCCCACTGCATCTTGGGTTTGAGCCCATGGCATTTTGGAAGAGGCGGGCCATACTGTAAGCCCGTAAGCTGCAGGCATCGTTTAGTCTACGGCAGTAATCTGCCATATACAAGCTTTCCAAGCAGCATTTGCCCAGGTTCGGCCTGTACTTTACTGAGTGCCACTTCGGCTGTGACCGGCAGCTTCAATGGCTTCGACTTAAAGCGCTCGCCAGAGCGCCAATGTGCAACAACTGACGTTGATTGCAAATTCGTGACACAGGATGGACTTGCCAGGCTCCATATACTTTTGCCGACAATGATGCATTGCAAGCATCTGTGTAGTTTCAGTTGCTGCGACACTCTCAGACTCTCAAAACCGCATGGCGTACTAGACTGAGGAAAAATCGCATCGATTGCTTGACATCCGTGCAACAGTACTTCTGAAGCTGGTGGCACTGCAACTTAAAGGAGATTTTCCAAGACTGCCAAGACTTGCACTAAGTCCATAGTTTGCTCTTGAACTTTTGCGTGCCTGAGAGGCATCGGGACGAGATGGTCCACTGCCACCTGGGCCTGTAGCTCCGAGTGCACAGAAACCGGAGAGGCAAGTGACAGGGTGCTGCAAGGGGTGCCTGGAGCAACGCTGCCTGCATGTAGGCGAGCGTTTGAGCCTACCAGTGTCCTGCCCCCCCTAGGTCCCTGCCTGAACCTTTACGTAAGTGCTGTTCAGGGCACGCCGACGTCGCCGATCTGCTCCCACTGATAGCCAGGACACTGCTGGTATGCTTGTGACGAGAATAGCTTTTTGTACTGCGCTCAGCTCCAACCAGTTGTGAGGGATGCCCCCTTGCCTCGATCGTCGGATCGCTGATGCCAGTACTCTGCGGTTTCGTACTTCAGAGGTCTGATTGAATTCGCAAATTCCGCATGGGCCACGCTTGCCTTGCAGCACAGATGACCTCCAGTGCGTAGGAGGTGGCGTCGCGGCGAGGTGTACCTGCAGCACAGACAACCATCAGGGGTTGATGGAGTAGCGCAACTGCCCTGCAGTTGCTCCGCCCACACGGCGCACGGCAGCCAAGTCTGCCCCGGCACCGCCATCCGGCTTGGCCGGCACCTCAGAGAATGCAATGAAAAAAAGTTTGCTGGTCTTGGAGGAGGCCCCCCTTTCTTGGCAGAGTTGCTTTGAGGCTCCGACGAAAGACGTTCTGACCGTGGAGCTGACTGAGCGGCTCCTTCTCGCTTTTTTTTTTTTGCAAAAACCGTGGTTGCTTGTTGAATTCGACGGCTTTTTACTCCACGCTGAGAGCTTGGCTTGGCTACCATGGCTTGCACGGCTCTTGCACGGAGTGCCAATTCCATGCATCCCACGCCCCCGCAAACGGACTTTGTGAGCGAAGAAGCCTACTGGTTCGGGTCCTATCAGAAAACCCGTTGCAAGCACACGACGAGTAGATTTCCAAAGCGAGGCTTGCTAGAGACCCGGGTACAGAGAAGATCGGCCTCAGCCATGAAGCGGCAGTGGGAGATGCCCGCCGCGCAAGAGAGCAAGGCGATGGCAAAAGGAGTGTGTCGCTTTTCTGTTTGCTTTTTTGTGCGGGAGGCGAGTCGATTTCCCCCCAACTTCGTGCCTCGAAAGATGTGCGACCTGGCTAATCTCAGCACTTTCTATGAGTGTCGGGACATGCAGTTTGTTGTATGCTTTGAGGCACTTACATGCAGAACAGCGGCTTCTGCCAGAAGGGGGACGCCTGCACCTTTGCCCACTCTCCGCAAGAGCTGGCCCCTGGCCCAGGGTCTCAAACGGCGAGCCCCTTGGCAGTGACAGTTAAAGGCTTTAGCCTGCGGCGTGTGCGACCTCCCTCACTAAGGCAAGGCGACTGAACTTGAGGATCTGCAAGAGATCGATGACTTGCTGGCCGGAGAAGTTGCTCGGCACTTTCGGCCTGCACAACACCTTGCTTGCTTCTCCGAAGCCCTGCATGATGAGGAGCTTGGAGTGCGGGTTCCCACAGAGCCGCAGCTCATGTATCGAGAACCAGCGCAGGAACTTCTTGGGCCAGGCAGGAATGCGAAATGATTTGACGGACGACGGAGCAGTTCGCTCTGAAAAGGGTTCCATACACAGTTTCAATCCCTGTTGCACCTGCAATCCTGTGCTGCCAGGCTCTTTGGACGCACCTCGAATGTTCCATGGTGATATTCGCCCAACGGCGCTGTGCAAGATGTGGATCCAGCACCCCACCTACTGCGCCCATGGTGATGGATGTACTTTTGCGCATGGCAGCCGGGCTCACTTAGAGGATGCTGCAGAGTATCCGACGGAGAGCAGCCATTCAGAATCACGTGGTAAGGTCTGGCGGAGATGTCGGCAGACGTGCAGGCGAGCCTCGAGAGGATTGCGTTCACAGGTGGGGGCAGTTTTGTGGGGAAGGGAAGCTGCCTAAGCCGCCTGCATTGGCTTGACCAGAGGCTTGCTCGGAACGAAGGCCGCTGTGGGTGATCCCGGCAAGGGCAAGGGTGGCAAGGGCAAGGCCCAGGCCGTGGCACTCTACAACAGCGCAGCCAACACGGCCAAAGGCGGACATAGTGGACCCACCACAAGCAATGGCTACAGCGGACACGGTCATGCTCAGACATCTACTGCCTCAGCGCCCCTCGGCTCACTTTGAACTTTTCATAACTTTTCTGTCAGCTCGCAGTGCTAGGGTCGAGCCCTGTACTTTGAAGGTCGCGGTTCGAGGACTCGAACTTCAAGCCCAACAAAATATGCAGTTTTTGGTTGAAGGACCCGAGTTTATGCCTGAAGGGGGACGCCTGCAGCTTCGCTCACGGAGTACTGGAGCTGCGCCGGATCTGAATTATCCTGGGCTCAGCACAATGTGGTTGTCCGGTTGCTCTCTGGCAGCTTTGCAGTAGCCTCAGGCACCCAAATTCTGTTGAGACCTGTGGGGTCAGTCGATTCCTGCACTCCGGCTTCAAGCCCCGCGTGTCTTGCCTTAGATGTTGAAGTCTTGCAGGCATGTGCTTTAGGTGTTCCAGGACCAAGACGGCTGCGCAGGTCATGTGCAAAAATATCTACGCGGGAAATGGCTGCTTAAAAGGCTGGCTTGTTTCACGTTGAACTGGCTACACTGCATGGTGATGTGCTTGCATGACCATTTCTTGGCTGAAGCTGCTAGGCTTGTGGTGCACTTTCGCCCATAGCCCAGACGAGATGCTGTGAGCAATTCATGCTGGAGCTGGAAGCTTTCCGGTGTAGTCCGCCGCACGTGCTCGAGTGTGTTAGAGCTTGACTTATATGGACGGACAAAGCTCCTTACCGTCTGAGTTGTCGGAGCTGCACCTCGAAGCCTGTTGCGCGAAACCACGCTGAAAGAACGGCTGTTGCATACCGACGTCCGTGAGAGGACTTATGTTTGTCGGGGTGTGTGTGCGATTCTTGAGCAACTCGCGAGGTTCACTTGCACGGGCTGCAGACTACTGGTACATGCAGGGGACGTGTAAATGTAAGTACAGCAACTCTCACTCCCAGTGACTTCCAGTTTTTTATTCTCCTGCATCGTGCAGACCCCGTTTCAGCACCACCATGTAGTCTGGACAGACCAATGGCAAGCCTTGTGGCAGAGGATGCCTTCAAAGCTGCGGAGGCATATTTCGATAGGAGTGGCATTCGTGAATTTTTGACTGAGATTTTAGTCGAGCTGGGGCGGGAGCAACCCGCGAACCCATTGGCAACCATCCGTGTGCACCTGGAGAGGGCCGAGAACGCGCAGGTGAGAATTGTTTCAGATACGGATTCTGGAAATCCAGGAACTCCGAAAGGTTCCAAGGGCGAGGATACCAAGGACACCGAAAGCGCCGCCAACGCTGGACTGGCGGATGTGGATGCATGTGATGCGCAGCAGCCTGCAAAGCCCAGTCTGTGGCAGATGCCCTTGGTCGAGAAATCCGGAACACCCGAGACAGAGGAGCACGATGCCGACGCAAGTCTCTTGCAGGCGTTCTGGGCAGGTGAAGCTGAGTGATGCAAAATGCACTGACGTGTTCCTGCCCTGCCAGCAGGTGGAGGCTCTGAGACTCTTGGCTGACGAGGGCCTGGCATTTTCCAAGCAAGGGTCAGGTCAGGACTTGTCCAAACGATGCTTGGCCGCTTTGAATGCTGGCATGCCGGAAGATGGAAGCGCCGATGTCGAGAGCTTCTACCACCGGCCGAGGTCGTGTGTGGGGCGGTGGCTTCAACCGCGATGTGCTGGAGAGCTGGGTTGCCCATCGTGCGTGCAGAACTTGTTCGGCTTGCGAGCGGAAGAGGAGTGGGAAAGGTGTTGACGCATGTACCAAGGTTCCTCAGCCCTCACCTTGTTGCGCGGCTGCGTCTGTGGCTGGTGCTTACAACTCTCTCTGGCATTTGGACCGCGATTCTGCTGGTGCCTGTGCCACCCTTAATGCTCAGTTTTGCAGAGGTGGGATGCATCGAGGCTGCCAAATGCTATGCCGAGGTACGATTCGTGAGGTGGCCAACATTATGGCGGAGAACAAGCAGCATGTCCTAGCCAAGCAGCAGCAGCGCATCGCTCCTTCGCCGCAGATTGAGCCCCGCCTTCGCAGCCTTGGGCATGGCTCGGGCCCTTGGGCCCCCTTGGGCCCCCTTGGGCTTCAGGAGAGACTCCTGGGCGTGGCCGAGGGAAGTTTAGAGGCCTACTATGTGGCCTTGGACGAGCACTTGGCAGCCAAAGGCTTGAGCTGGACAGGAAAGGGGACCTCGGCTGTGACGAAAGCCGCCGCGCATCTCGCAACTCGACGCCCGGCAGCAGCAAGACACCCTAATAGCCCTAATACTGTTTCGTGATTTACCGCCGGCCGGGTTTACCGCTGTGAATTCGAAGGTGAATTGCTGTCTATCCGTGCAGACGCACGGCCACGGACAGAGTCAAGGGAGTTCACGCCGACCGAACAGCAGCTGCTCGAACAGCCCGACCAGAGGGAAGCTGCAGGCAGACTTTGGCCGAAGTTCTGGTAACTTATGGTGTCCCTTATGGTGTCACAGGAAGTTCGGGTTCTGAAGCCTTCTCTCGGGGTCCCCGCCGACGCTGTTCGATGCCTTGAGGAGCTCCAGAGGATGCAGGGCCGGACCTCGCAGACACCGAGGCGGCTGCCATTCCGGCTTTTCCCTTTCCGGGTTTGTTAAGGCAGGCAGTGCACAATAGTAGCGTGGCATCGGGCCAGGTGGCTTCCAAGGGTGCTTTGGTGACTGATGTTTTCGCAGCCCTCCGAGAAGTCCTGGGCGGCAGCCAAGAGCCAGATGAAGAAGAGACGAAGGATGACGAGAAGATCGAGAAGGCAGTTCCAGTGTTGCCCGGCAGCTTTTATGGTGGCCCACGGAAAACGCCTGCTCAGGTTTGCGAGCTGGTACAGGATGACCCAGCAATCAAATGGAAGACACTCGCCACATAACGCCGCGCGAAGTTCGACTTCCAAGCTTTTGGTCGTTTGCGATATGTATGCCGAGGAAGGAAATGTCGGAGCTTTTCGGGGCTCGAAAGGCAGTTTTCAGGCAGAACTGACAGCATCAAACACGCAACACGGCACTTGCATGTCCTGTTCTGATTGTTCCGAGATCGTTTTGTTTTGGTGGGAGCGAGAACATTTCTCATTCGAGCAGGCTTCGGGCAGAGAGACCCAACACGTCCGAAGTTGGCAGTGGCAATCTGAAGCAAGCTGCAGAACTGCTTGGCACCCGTGACAACGCACGCGACAATGCATCCCGGCACTATTGTTGCATCATGCTCAGTCGCGACTGACCAGAATTGACATCAGCTTCAGAGTGACATTCGCCGCCCGGCCAAGGAATCGCTGAAGGTGACGTGCCTGCTTGGGAGGCGGCACAGTTTTAAGAACACCGCGGCCTTCGTTTCGAAAGGAGATGGGGACCCAGAAGTGCGCAAACAGTGGTCGCTTCTTAAGCAGGCCTTTGCGGATCCCGGGAGCGTGCTTGGACTGGGTCCTGGCAGTGTGTTTTGCCTTTTTTGTGGTCTTTGTGAGTGATGTGTTTTCCGTGAGCCTGCGCCGCGGCTCTGCTGCAGGTCCTCCTTTTCCACCTTACCAACCACTACGCACTGATCTTCGCTTGGCGTGAGTGGATGGAGCCGAATGCCATCGAGGTCAGTGCTAGTGGACATCAAATCGTGGCAGAAATCCCAAGTAAGAACATCTTTGGGGAAAGGCCCTTCTCCGACCAATTACGGCGCAAACCTGAGCCCACATCGGTGGGTCTCTCTTTCGATGGGCCGCCACCCCGTAAGGATTCGAGAGATTCGAGCCCTCAAATGCTTGGAGACCCTGAGGAGATTCCGCTGCGACTCCGACGGCAGATCCTCACATCGCGACGCGGCCAGCGTCCGAGTGCGTGGATCGACTTCGAGGAAGTTCGCAAAATTCTGTGACCCGGCTGTCCGAATCGTAGAGTCGTAGGACCTCTCTTGTGAATAAGGGTCTTTATTTATAAATGCTTTAGGTCGAGGCTCCACAGTGAACACGCTGGAGCAAACCGGGCCCGGGAATGCTGTGGACTCCCTGAAAGCACATCGGACATCACGTCTGCAAGCAATGTGGACGGGAACAAACCTCAACTGGCACGGCGACCAGAACATCCGCACGGGTCGAACACTGTCGAGTGTTTCGTCGCAGCGGGATCGCGATTTTAGATTCAAAAAGAGGTCTCGAAAAAGCTTTGTTTTCAGAGCTCGAAGACTCGATATGTAAAACCATGGCAGGCGTCGCATTGTCTGTGACTCGGCGTGCCCTTTTTCAGGGTCTTGTTTTGAGGGTGGTTGAACGGCGAAAAACACCGCGAACAGCGCTGGTTTCGTGATGTCAGTGTGCCAAAACGTTGTTTTGCAGTTTACCCAAAAGTTTCTGCGGTTGGCTTTTAGACTCGAAGAAGAACTCCTGAACCACAGATGAGAGCGGAGAGCCCCAGCGTCTATCCATGACGGCTGCCATCTCATGGGCTCGCTGAGTAGCATGAGAACCCAGGCGGCCCTTGCGAGATAGATGCAACTACACCCGTCCAACGATGAGCAAGACACCTCGGCGGTAAAACATGACTTCGTCGGACGAGCCACAGGCAGCGCGAGAGGAATCAGCTTTGGAGCCTGCACAAGTTGATGAAGTCTACAATCGGAAGCATGAAGACAAGACAAGTTGATGATGTCTACCATCGGAAGCATGAGGACAAGCACTCATGCGAGATGGGAGGAAGGACGCAGAGGCTACACGGACGTTATTCGCGCACCCCCACCACCTATCCCGCAAGCCCCACCCCCCCCCCCCCACCCGCACGCACGACCGACGCAACGAAAGCCTTGAGAATCCTCAGAAACGCACGACGACAAACGATCTGCTAGCAAGAACATGTCAAAGGCATTCGCCGTGCCTGCATGCCGTGTGCTGGAGGTTGCAGATGAGGGGTCAAACAAGTTTGTTGAACAACTGCATCCGAATTCATACCCTCTGATTGTGTCTGGGGGTTCTTAGATGGTCCGCAGATTCAGCTCGACTTGCCAAGAGAGGGATCAGTTGAGGCAGCTCAGAAAACTGTGCCCCCAGCCTCGAACTCTAGGAATACCGACGGCTAAGCCTTACAGCCGCGTGGCACACGTAGGGTTCTGACTCAAGCAAGGCTCAGCTGGAGTGGCTATCATGTGCTGCAGCTTCAGCGTGAAATCCGGGCAGGGCCACAGACTGCCCAGGATGTTTGTGAAGAAGTAGCCGGTGCAGAGAGTTAAAAGATGAGTGCGAACTGCTACTGTATCATGCTTCCGCGAGTCTAGGCTGAGTTGTTTTGGATATGCCACGCATGTCAGGGCCGAGCAGAACGAGCTGAAAGAAAGCGTTGTGGATCATGTGAGGACCAGCCCGGCTTTGCTGCATGTAGCTCTGCATCGGTTGGAGGCCAAAATCACTGACACGTCTGTCTTCTCATACTAAATAACTTAAAACCCGTGCAGTGGAGCCAAGAGTCGCATGCAATATGGTCAAGAGCAAGTGGACTCCAGGAAAGTGACCGTGCAAGCAGACGACGACGAGCCAGACATTTTGGTGCTTCGGCTTCCATTTCAGACCCTTTGAGGAATCTTGTTTCAGTGTACATGTTTTTCCTGCGAGGCCGAGTTCGTCTGTGTGCTCCTAGATCGGCCCCTTGGCCCAAGATGGCCTTGTGACGACAGAGAACACGGTGTCACAGTGTTCAGGAGGAAATCCAGCCCTGAGATGCTGGAGGAGTTGTCTCTAATGGACGACGAGGTGAGAGGTTCATAAGTCATCAGGTCCAGCTCTACATGCCTGCAGCATCTATTCGGCCAGGCTCAGCCGTTTGTCGCGTGGCTACAGAAGGAAAAGGCCTTTACTCCCTAAGCAGTATTACGCAGTGTTGCAACCAAGCTTTCTTCGGAAGCCTTGTGAGGCCAGCATTCTGGCAAGGAGGCCGCCCCCAGCGCCGGCTGCAAAAGTGCAGGCAAGGGTAAGGGCATGGAGGGTCACCCTGGCCGTTTAGCCGCACACGTCATGGGAGGCACCGCCGGACAGACCACCGGGGCAGTTCACGACTGGCCCACAGACGGATCCGTGGTTCACCTGACTGTGCACCTTTGTTGTCGGTCATTGCTTCTTTTCCGAGGCCGCTGCCGCCCCGCAGCCATGCAATGCTGACGCATGGATCACAGAGAAGCAACGAGGGAGGCTCGTCCGCCTACGCGGTCGCTGTCATGTGGTGCCGAGGCCCAATGCCGTGACGGCTTCGCTTGAGGAGTCGAAGGCTTCAGCTCTGTGCAAAGCCGAGTCACGCGCCTTCGCTACTTACTATATAGTGAGCTGATTTTGGCAGGCTGGAGACTGCTCTCAAGATAGAGGACTTGTTGTCATCACGAACCGCTTGATTCTGCAGCTGGAGTCTCAGATGAGGGCGGGGCCAGCATCGGATTCAGTGGATCAAGCTTCAAGGCCGAACACAGGACACGGCGGACACAGTGCCGCGCCATCCGGCCACGGCCACAGTGGAAACCGCCCTGCTGGCTCGATTTTAAAGACCTGCTGCGAGCCGGTGCTCAGCAACGCCATACGTCAGGGCAGCCAGAGGTGGTGGATTGCGAAAGAGGCATGGAGGATGACCTGTAGGTGCCGTATCGGACGCATCACTGCACCCAATCCTTTGGCAGTTTCGGCTGCCTCTGCAGCCGAGAAGAAGGCCGAGGCACTTTGGTTCTCCAAACGCTTTGGTGCTCAAAGATCGGACCTTCCACGCGATCTTCCCAGGAAGCATACCAGAAAAAAATGGAGCTGCTCGCCGAGATGACGAAAGAGCTGCAGGCCATGTCAAAGGTATTGATCGATCGTCGCCTAGCAGCAACAAGCTCGGTTCTGAAGCTGGTGATGGGCCAGGTGATCCTGCACCGGCTCTCGGACAAGAACTTAAGCGAGACCATGCGGGAGAGGTGCCTCCGCCCCCGTCAGAGCTGGCTCATGCTCGCAGTAGCTAGCAGCCATGAAGGTACCAAGGCTTTGCGCAGACGATTCAGAATCGAATGTCGTCTCTGTGCCGATCCTGGTGTGAACAACAGCATGTGCGAAGGGTTGGGCTCGGCTGACTTTTTTGCGTTTGCTTCCAAGGTCTCGCCCTGCTGCCGCTGAGAAGGCAGTGCCGTGACTTCAATGAGGCATGCATTGTGGGTAAGTTGCGCCATTTGTTGATCCCGTGCCAAACCGCACTGAGGAGAAGGCTTATGCACAGGCAGCTCAGGAGGCTGCAGCAGCCGCCGCGGCTGCTGCCACAGCGGCAGCAGGGGGCAACTCGCCAACAATGTCACCGGCTGCCTCACCAGTGCCTCGGAGTGGAGCGGTGCCTTCTCTGCCGGGGCCCGCCCTCGCCGAAGCCGGGAGAGCCCCGCCACCAGAGGCAGTGCCCAGCTGAGATCAACTCGTTGCACAGATGTGGCATCCGGCTACGGTGCAAGCCGGAGTAAGTTTCGGTACTATCGATGTTCGGTGATGATGCCGGAGCACGGGCTTTCCACCACAGGAGTCTGCAGGAGTGAGGTGTTTCACTCTTTTACAGGAAGTTTTCTACGTCGCTCTGAAGTTTCACCACCAAGGGCATGCCCCTTTTGTACAAAGGCAGGAAGGACATGGATGCCTGCAACATTTGTTTCGAATTTTCTTCGAGAATAGACGGATGCCCTCCGAGACAGGAACCCAACTGCATGGGGACGCGACCACTTCTGTCATGAGGCATTGATATTTCGTAGCATGGCTCGGTAGGGACTCACAAAACTTCAGCCGCAAGGCTCAAGGTAGGGGCAATGTGGGCCCTGGCTTGTTAATGTCGAGCTCTTCGGCGGCGAAAGGCTACGAACAGATCGTGCAGCGTCCAGTTTGCGTCCAGTTTTTGACACTGGACGCTTCATTGGACAGGCCACCTGGCGATGGTGTCCATCTTAATGCTTGGGGTCTGTGGCTCTCGGACCCTCGGACTTCGGATTATCATGCCTATTCTGTTGACAGAACCGCTGTGAGATTCATCCGAGGCCCTGACCATTTTCCGCGCTTCTATGCGCTCTACTTTGTATACACTAGGCCGGAGATGCGAGCCTAATCCTGAGAGAAGGCCAGGGTTAAAGCTGTGGACTGCGAGGATGCCTCGCTCTTTTTTGGTGTGCCAGCTGCTCCCACCGCCGGCGAAGCGTCACCGCGACCGGATGGCTGCACGGTGGCAATTTGGGAAGTCTTGGCTAGGCTGGCACGACGCCACACGAAAGCGCAGGAACTAACGTCAGCTACTCCTCTGCGTTCGGTAAAGATCTACCGCTGAGGTACAATGCGATGTGTGGAGGTTCTGATTCCGTGAAGACGTTTTCCAGCAAATCTGACATGGTGAAGGCATGGCTGGCTGCCTTGCCTTTTGCAATCTCCGTGTCATGCTGTGGTGTGCCAATTTTTGCCCAGGCCGGTTGGGTCTTCAGCTGGGACGACAACAGCCTCTGGGATGAGAGCGCGACGTACAGCAGCGCGTATCGTGGATCCTTTGCCTCGGGTGACGGGATGGTTTCTCTCCAGTTGCAAGGTCATGGCACGGTGGTGCCGAGCTTGGGTCAGTAAGCTTCGCAGATCCCAGGGAGCAGGGGAACTGCAAGAAAAGCTGCACAGTCGCTTCTACAGTTTTGCATCCGGAAATGAGTGCTAAGGTGCTGACATATGGAAGCGACTCGTCGGGAACGGTCAAGGTTTTTCTGAACGGCCAGGAGAAAGGCAGTGCCTCTGCCAACACCGTTTCGCAGAAGGCTGAGCTGGTTTTCAACACAGGCGGGCAAGGGTTTGCAGATCTTGGGGATGGCAGATTGGAATTCAACGCCCTGCCAGCCATTTCCGCAGGAGACATTCTGCAGGTGCAAGAGGCCGGATCCATCATCCTGATCCAATCCATCGTCGCTTGGTTACACAGCGGGTTTGCTTGTCATTATCGCGACCACTCATGAGTCGTGTCAGCGGCCTCTTCGACCAGCCTTGTGCTATGTTTCCCGATCCTAGGACTTCGTTTGCGATCTCACATCCCCCACAACTCCGGTTTGGTCCTACCACGAAGCAGTGCCATCCAGCAGCCTGCCATATGAGATGGGCTACCAGGCGGACCTGAACCTCAATTCGGCCTCCTACACCGTCATGATGTGGTTGAAGCAAGGGGTCAGTGAGCCCAGCGACGCTATCATCATCGGGCAGCACATCGGAACCTCCACCACCACAACCTTCACGACTGTAACCGTCACCGAGACGACCGTCACCGTCTCCTCCACCACCACGACACAGACCACAACGATTCTGGCTTCATCTTGCGTAGGTGGTTGACTTCTTGTCAATCTTGCAAAGAGGGGTGCAGGCTTTGTGCATGCTTAAACGATCCGCTTAGCCTAGCATCAAATGACTTTGAAGTGACAGTGTGCCAGCTTGTCCCAACATGAGGACTGACCTCTGTCAATGGTACGCCTACACGGACTTGTATTCGAGTGGCTATGCTGGTGGCGTTACCGATGCGTTCGACCTCCACTCTGCCAAAGAAAAATGTGCTTCAGATCAAGTGCGGTTGTCCTCATAAAGGTGTTGGTTCAGATTGGCTGCCGTTGGATTAGCAAGCCCAGGACCTAGGTCCGGTTGGTTTCGTTGCACCTGCCTCCGTAACTGGATGTTCTATTTCTTGATTCGTGCAGTTGGCCTGGAGCGTTGCTCCGAAACGCCAAAAGCCCGGAGTCATCCCCCGTGCAGCTCGTGTTTACCGACATCGTGCACTCATTTAGAGTCTAGAGTCCAGTTTGCAGGCGTGGGAGGGAAGTACTACCAACCCACCGATCCTTTCCTGGATTGATAGGGCCTGTCTCCGTGTGCATTGACTCAAGCAGCCGTCCCACCTCCCGAGGCATCGAGCTGGGAGAATCGGCCTGCAAGGCTGTGACATGCACAAGTGGCGGCTCTTGTACCGTCCGAGCTGCTGTCAAGCTGGCTGCAAGTGCATATGGGGAGACATCGTATGTGCCAAGCTCCATGTGCTACCTCGGGGGCTACCGTAACCTGGTGGGGTTGACGAGGTCGGGTGTGCCCTTTACAGACGCAGCCACAGGGAGTGGCTTCATCATGTACTCAGCACAAGACGTTCGATCACGCTTCAGTCAAACATCTCTCCCGTCTGACATGGCTGACCACCTCATCTGTGTAAAATACTCCAGTGGCAGTGGCTGGATGTATGATGATGATGCAGGAAACGATGTTGGCTTCATCGCCCGGGACACTGACGTACTGATCGCTTCCGTAGACTTCGCGGCAGACACCGTCACCAGCCTTGTTGGGACTGATGAGTACTATGCCCATCTCACCAAGGGGTACAACAGCGGTGATCTGGTGTTTGTGGCCGGAAAATATGGCACCAGCAGCACAAGTGATGCTGGAGAGGTATATGTCTCGGGGACGTACTTCATCGTGCCGTCTGTCGACACGGTTTCGTACCCGGATGTGCTGGCAACGGCAGCAAGTGCACCGAGCCAATTCACCAGCACTGACAATGTAGTAGACTATTACCAACACCAGACAAGCAGTGTCAGTGAAGTGCACATGAAGATCACGAATTACTACACGGGTTCCAACAGCGACAATTGGAAGGTGTTTGATGGCTCTTATACAAGCGCCGTACAAGTGCAGGAGCCAGACCTGCTTTGGGAAGGAGAAGGCCTGCAGTCGCGCGTGCATTCGGTTGCTCGGCCACGAACTGTTGTCCGAAGCTTTCTCGTTCACAGGTGTGGGGAACTGCGAAAAGGGCAAAGTGCTGAAACGCACCGCCAGCGTTCGCAAGGGCTCGAGAGAACTGCACACGAAGCGTGTCCAGCGGGGTTTTGAATGCGGCGAGCGAAACGGAAAGCTTCGCGTTCGCGGCAGGAGAAGTAGGAACCGTTTGCGGAGGGATTCCTAGTGTGATCCAGCCGTTTTTTTTTCACAGAAAGCACAGGTTACGCTCTACACCACAACCAGCGGCAATGACTACACAGCCTACTTCCAGACATCGGACTTGTCTTCCGGCAGCTGGTCGTCAGGCCCTGGGCTGCTGGCGCACTTCCGTGTAGGAAGATATGCGCCGATTCCTGCACAGGTGATATCCAGAATGCCACCGCGGACTGGGTCCAGCAAAGTTCCTACTGGAAATGGACGATCCCCATCAAGGCGGGACCGTTTGCTCGTGTCAGTAGGCTGGCAAAATTGACTTGTCTCTATATACATCGACCTCAGAGCCGAGGCAGAGACGATGAAGCTCGAAGTCCGCCTTCGCGGTTCTGGCCTGACCTTTGCAGACAGCCCGGACGGCTCCCAGCATGCCAGCCGCTCCTTTCAGCTCAGCGGCTTTGAGGTCAACCTGCGTAGCACTGTCACTACCACAGTCACTGCAACCATGACAACAACACACACTGAAACCGCCACGACGACTACAACCTCGGCGACCACATCCACGATCACCGTTACCACAACCACTCTCACCTCTTTTCCATCTGTCGGTTTCGACAGCCATGCAGACCTAAAGTGCGCAAGCACGGGTGAGAGTTCCTCGGGCCTAACGGATGCAACAGAGGATCAATGCAAGCTTGCATGCTGGAGTTCTTCCACCTGTGTTGGCTTTAACTATGCTGCTGCTGGTGGCGGGGCAGACAATTGCAGGCTCCTGGCTTCTTTTACCAGCCTCGCTGCTGAGACAGGCACGACTTGCTATCTGCGCATGGCGACTGGTATGTGCCCCTACCAGTTCCAGTACGCGTACTATGCAAACAGCGCCTATTGCTGCAAGACCAACAAGGAGAAGGATGACGGTTCTGGTGAAAGCTGTGACGGAAGCGCTATGCATGCTGGCAATACAGTCTCTATGTGTTGTGCGACTCGGCTACGATCTCTTCGCATGCATTTGTCGTCTGCTGCTCTTCCTAAGCCTTTGTGCCCGGGCTGCCCAGGAAGGGAACAATTTCGTCGTGTGCCCGAATCCTCCCTGCTCCTTGGATGGATTGGTTCTGCGAAATAAGAAACTTGTTCTCTTTCACGGTGCACTGCCACTGCCATGTCTGCGCAGTGAGGTGCCGACTACCAGTCGTGACCTGGCCCTATCAACCTGTGTCTAGCCACATCTCTCATGCTACAAAGTCTGCAGGTGAGCCTAATAGACCTGGCGGAAGGCACTTAGGCTAGCACGCTCAGTTGCAAGCGGTCGTGACACCGCATTTCGCAAGAGGTACACCTCGGCAACGATGCACGGTGTTGCAACATTTCATTACGAAGAGAGCACGACGACCATTACATCCTCCTCGGTGACATTATCCACTACCTCAACCGCTACTGCCACGTCATCCTCTACCACGTCATCCACATTCACCTCATCCTCGACCACCTCATCCTCTTTCACATCATCCTCGACCACATCATCCTCTACCTCAACCGCTACTGCCACATCTTCGTCAACCTCATCATCCACTGCCACATCTTCCTCTACCACATCATACACAAATACTGTGACGGTGACTTCGACAACCAGTTCTTCAACGACCTTGACTGCCTCAACTACTACAACAGAAACATCAACCACAACTGCAACGACTTCAATCTCAACGACTTCAAGCGCAACAGCGACAACGTCATCGACTTCAACCGAAACGACTTCAACCGCAACGACTTCAAGCTTAACGGTATCAACCTCCACAACTGCGTCAACGACATCGACTGTGTGGGCCTTGACCCGTTTCTGGCGGCAGAAAGAAGTGCGCATTTCCGAGTTTTTGTCTAGGCCCGTAGCGTCTCGAATCTCTTGAGTTCGTCCCAGTTGCAGCTGCCCTTACGGTTGGCTTGTAATTAGTAGGGCATAAATGAATAGATACACGTGCATGGAAATGTGTTATGCAGCCAACCTCACGTGTTCATCCTTTCTGCTGCGAGATGAGCTTGTCCCCAGGCTATTTGCATTGGAGCTCAGTGTACTCTGCCTTGTTCTCGGATGCGTATGAAGAGAACGACGAATTCTTCTGGTCGGTGGAGTTTGTGAGTAGTGGCACCGTCAGGCTCAAAAATGTGAAAGAAGGCACGTACCTGGCTTCTGACGGGTCCACTTTGTCGTTGGAGAGTACTGGCAGTGCTGCGGGTCTCTGGAAATATGCAACGGTCGATGAATCAGTTACACTTCAGCATTCGTCATCCAGTAAGTATCTTTGCACTGACGCCTTTCCTGGCCTCTCCGACAGCTGCCAGTCTAGAAGCTGGACGGTCACTTTCCTGGCCAACACTGTGTCTGCATCCGTCTTCACCTCAGTCACCGTGACAACCACCTCACTGACCTCAACAACCAGGACGTTTCCATGGGCTGTTGGTCAAGGTCAAACAACGTCTGGCCCGGTGTTTGACGTTTCTCCTTGGATTCCTGAACGAACCATGGGGCTTCAAAGGCTCATTACACCCCCAACCCTACGCTACTAAGCTACTAGTGTAGTGTTGCTAGTATGTAAGTCTGTGGCAGTGTTCAGAGGCGGGGATGAGAGGGAGCGACCTTCATTTCTATCTTTTTACGCCTTGCCGGCTCCTTTCCTCGAGACTTACAGTTCTTGTTTCACGCTCCCCCACCAAGGCCCGCACGGAGAACAGAAGAAAACAGACCTTCACAGCAGGACGGTGACCTCCACAATAGTAACTTCGACGACGACGAGCACAACCTCGACCTCATCATCAACTGAGACCACCTCTACAGTGACAGCTACAATGACAACATCGACAAGCTCTACCAAGACGACCACCGCCAGCACTTCCACAACAACGAGTGTCACCACAATAACGTTGACTTCAAGGACAGCGACTCTAACCACTACCACGACTCTCACTGCACAGTTCGACAGAACACGTTTTGACATCAACTTGAAAGACGGGCGGTACTATGTCAGCGTCTCGACAGCATGGACAGCAGTTCAGCTCAAGGTTTTGCTAAGTCCCGGGAGCCTGAGCAAAGGTCACTACCTCCAGGAGTGCCACTCGGACACCGCCCTGAGCAAAGACGTGTGGCAGCTTGGTGGATGCTTATGTGGTCCCTCAGGGTCCTTTCGCCGGAAACCTGCACTTCGTCCCGGCACCAGGGACACTCTGGAGCGCAGAGCACGTTCGGTTTCGACGCGTGTGCTGACATGTCGTGGATATGCAGGTGCGAGAATGCCGTGCGTTCGTAGCTATTCGTAGCTCACATTATGGACTCTCCATAGCGTCCACGGCATGCCACGACCTGACCGCATGGCGAACCTGAAGTCACCGTATTGGGGGTCTGAAACTCCTTTCGATTTCGTCTGCTTTCGTTCTTGCGGATGCGTGTGGTGTCCTTGCGCATGAAAGTGGGTTTCGGCAATGACGGGCTTGAAGCTCTGTTTATGAGCATGTACAGCACGCAGACACCAGACACTGCCCCGTCCAAGGCAGCACGTGGCCTTCGTCTATGACAAAGATGCCAAAACGCAGTCGATCTACATCGACGGAAATTTGGACAAGACATGTTCGGCTCCATGGCTCGTGAGTGTCCCCGTAGGCAGATGTCGGCACGTCGGGACCCGCTAAACAACTTCGCCTATCCAAATCGCTGAGGGCATCGAGTCGCTGAATACGGACGAGACCAACCAGCATTGGGCTCAAATGCTTAAGACAGTATCACAAGGTGTAGCCGTAGAGCGAATTGAGGTTTTATCTTGGCGGTGCTCTGCGACGGGGAGTTACAACAACATGGACTGGCTCGATTGCTGATGTGAACGTCTTCCTTCAGGTCGCGTAGCATGCAGTCCCAAGTCCTATACATTGCCATGCATTGTCAATCCTTCTGCCAGGTCTTAACAGCCGAGCAGCTTGGTGTTTCAAAGCTCACGGCCTGCTACGATCTCCCAGGCAGAGACGTGCTATTTCTATTGATGGGAAGCGTGTCAGTGCATCGCGACTCCAGGTACTGATTGCCGCACTCAGCTGCACTCATGGCACACCAAGGGCCACTTGTCTGCACAGGAAAAGTATGTTGACCGTGCTCCTTGGCAGGTCCTGGTTGCGAGGACTTTATAGTTCTGGCATCTTGATTCTCTCGAGGTGCTTGCTTGATGGATGCAGATACCAGTGGACTCAATCCGAAGACGTGCAGCCCACAACTCAGCAGTCTTTGACCAAATCACTGCGCAGAATGCGGAATCTCCAAGGCACCTACTGTGCCGCCTATGGGATGCTGTGCCTGAAAGCAGCCCAATCCAGCGGCTCCTGTGCGTTGTCGGTGTCCACAACAGCTGCTCGGATTGACACTAGTCGGAGAGCAATGCTTTCCTTTCACACCGCCGACGGCTGTCGGAGATTGAACGGTTTGAGGCATATGAGACACAAACCAGGCGCCCTGCTCGTGGCCGGCTCCTTCACAGTGTGCATGAAGCATCCGATTTTGCTCTTCAGGTACGGCTGTGACGAGACACTGAACAACCAAGTGTGTCTAGGTTGCATGAAGCCGAACTTGTTGACGCAAGAAGTGGCAGATGTGGATGTCGGGTTGGACAAGGTGCGAATGCTACCCTGCGAACTGGGCTCCACAGCTTGTCAATCCGGCGAGTGATTCTTCACAGAGGCCCTGGGTTGCTTGGATTTGCTAGGCGTCACAGTGCACCTGAGTGCAATCTGGAAGGACTTATTCAAGCTCATTTGCGGACACGGCTAAAATAGGACAAGCTGAGTTTGAGCTAGATGCTAGATGCGTTATCACGGATTCGGCTGGCTCTGTTGGGCTCATCAACTTCAGCACCGGTTGGGCAGTGGCGGGCAGGAGCTCTTGACGACACAAGCAGTGACCAAATGTGGAGAGCTGCCACTGATAGCGATGAAAACATGATTATCGACATCGGCTCCAACAATTACTATGTTCCTTGTCCTGGACGCATCTTCGGGCACGGTTGGCTGCCCAGTGGTACCCCAGTGATCGCCCAAGGTCTGTGGCGTTATTACACAGGGAAGTGGCAGTGCAGACTACTGGGTCAATACCTTCGAGGCTGCGCATGCTCCGGATGCCCGAATATAGGTGCCGAACATCGAGGGTTGAAGGCATGTGCAACTGACTCCAGACCTGGGCAGGTGGACTTCAGTGGCTGGCACAGTTCAGTCAAGGGGGTCGTTGTCGTGAGAGCTCGATCGTGCTCGAGATGATAGCAACCAGCACAGGCTAGACGAGTCTGGGTGGTATCTGAGGTGAGGACAACAGCAACTATGCCCCGATCGCCGGCGCTTATACCACTGCTGGTGACAAAACGACTCAGAAGCTGTCCCGATTTCCTTTGCCGATGCGGGCCCGTTGTTGGTTGCAATGGAATCTCCTTGTAAAACTTGTGCTATTAGGAGCTGCTTTCATCGTAGGCCATTGCCGCTTCAGAAACTTTACGCAAAGTTGGAGCAAACAGGTTTAGGACGATTCGCACATGAGTACGGAGAAGGGAGGGAGGCAGTGAGGCAAGAGCGGAGGGAAAGAGAGACTGGGAGGGCTGGTGCGAGTATGAGGCTATGTTCGCATCTGGCCGTCCACTGTCAATGGGGCCCTCGCCATGCGTGCAGGGCTGGTGACGTGTGGCCCGTTGAGAGCTGGGACTTCCGGGAACCATGCCACCAATGCAGGCAAGTTGTGGAACAGTTCCGGACGTATACCGATGATTCTTTCCGCCATGAAGCAGAACGCCCGGTAGCATTCGTTTACAGGGGTGCATACATTGAAAGTCATGTTGGGGGGCTTGGCTCGGCCGCCATTGCAGGCGTTACGTGTCATTCGGATGTATCAAACTGCGGTAGCTTGGATGCAAGATGGTGCCAGAGATCATCCCCAAAAAACAATCACGTGAAGAACCCAGGCACGCAGATTACGGACGGCAACAAATGCACGGACAGTGCGACATTCTCGGGTGCCGTGGCGACAGCATCCACGGAGCTTTGCACTTCCAAATACTGGGTGCAGCTTGATCTAGGACTGGTGGATGATGTTTTCTGTTGCGGTCTCGGTCCTTCTCGTCGCTCCTTCCTTCTGACATCAGATCATCAGGAGCCACATTGTCGAACGACGCGCCGACGAAGTTGGTGAACAAGGTGCGAGCTGCAGCTCCAAGCTCGCCAACTTGCTGGTGAAGTGAGCAGCAAGCCGAACTTCATTTGAAGAAGTTGTCTGCTAGCGCCCTGCCCCAGACTGATGCAATTGCGCCTTTGAAGGTGGTGGTTTATGGATGCCAGAATTTGATGTATTGTGGCCGGGCTCTGGAACTTTCCAGCGATGGGACAACCTGGTCCACGGTCTATGAGGCAAACACAGCTTACGCAGTCCAGCTGCAGCAGGAGCCAAATGTAGCCAAGTTCACTTGTGGGACATTGGTGTACTCACTTGGGGTTGCATCGCCCGCGGCAGCTTTAAGAAGTTGCATGCTCGGGGGTCAAGCAAAACAGAACGCTCTGAAGCCAGTACAACTGCGACTGACGCAGCATGCATCCGCTGACAGCCGAGCCAAGCGAAGCAAGACACCTGCCGACAGAGCACGGACGTGTCGACAACAATCACAGAAGGGATTTAGTCGGTAGTCGTGCATCAGCGATGGCTTCTTGGATGGTTTTGCCACTAAGGATGACGATGATCCGCCGAACGTGACATACAGCGCTGTGGAGTCGGGTTCTGGAAGCGTTTTTCGCTTTGATTTGCGCCCCATTCGCTATGTGAAAGTTTGGTCGAGCATCAGCAGCAGCGCGCTTCAAGTACACTTCGCAGAAATCGCTGCTCGGTCGGACAAGCGAGTTGCGTGAAATGAGACCATACTCTAGTATAATGTAGGGTAGAGGCGAGGCGGCGAGAGTTTTCGACTGCCATGTCAGGAAGTTTATGAGCAGGCCGCGGAGCTGAACTATCAGTTTGACACAGAGATGGCCAGCACGGCCGTGACCATGGGCCAGCTGAGCAATCTGGGCATGCTGTCCGACTACACATTCATGGCTTACTGGAAGGCGAGTTCCCTCACGACCAATGCCTACTACCCGATCTTCGGACAGACCCAAAGCAGCGGCCTGAACTTTTTCGTGAAGCAGACAGCGACCAACACCGCCCAACTTGAGCACAAAGTGGATGGCTCCGACGGATGCAGCACAAGTGCGACGTCGGTTTCGGCCAATTGGAACCATGTCGCTCTGTCCTTCAGTGCCAGCACAAAAGCATCAACCTTTTACCTCAACGGTGCCGCGGTGTCGCCAACCTGTGCAGCACAGATCAGCGCCACAGATGGAAGTGTTGAGTATGGAGGTGGTCGTGGAGAGGGCACCTGGAGTGGGAGCCTTCAGCAGGCCAAGGTGTACACACGAACTGTCCTGTCTGAGGACTTGACCAATTTCAGCAACTGGTGCTCCACGTACACCTGCGGGCCAGGATATCGCCGTGATTCGAGCAAATCGGGCACTTGCAGCACCGCCAGCTGCACGGATGCGGAATGCTGCGAGGAGTGGCCAACATGCGCCACAACGGATTGCACACAAGACTCGAAGTACACCTCGAGAAGGCGCAACTATTGCTTTCGGTCGTGCACGGAGACGTTGTGCTGCACATGGCGTGTACTCGGTTCCTTCACGCTCACCGGGACTTCAACCCCAACGGTGACAACTCACAGTACAGCCTCCTGGGTTGATGCTGGTTCCACTTGCAAGGACCAGTTTGACGATGCGCTCCCTGTTACCACAAGCGGAACGGTTGACCGCACAACTGCAGGCACATATACTATCACGTACCAGTGCACGGAGAACAATGGCAACACGGTGCTGGCACCTTTGCTAACCGAGCATGCTTACTGTAGGCTGTGCGCTTGCCCAGATTGCTGACATGTTTCGCAGTCTCACAGCATAGACAAGGACACAAAGACCCGGACTGTCACGGTCGTGGAGAGCATGTACATCAACCCAGCCTTGCATCTTGCCCTTGATTCTGCCACGCATCTGCTCACTATTTTATCATGGCTCTCGCGCACGCGCCGCGCGCGCGCGCGTTGCACGCTGCTGCGCTGCAGGTACTGGGTGGTGCAGCGCGAGGCCGGTTCCTGGACAGACACGGTCTCCAAGTGTTGGGACACGGCCGTGCCCCGGCATTCACAGCGTGTGTGGCTTGATGTAGAGATATGTAGGGTGAAGGCCAGTGAAGGTTGGTTTTGTTGGACCAGGACACATTCGACGCCGATGTGGCTGACATGCATCAGTCGGAGACGTGGGATGCGAGCCTGCGGCTCTACAATGGGACATCCGGTGGAGAGACCGAGGCCGAAGCCCGGAAATCCAAGTGCAGCCGCGCTTGTCGGTGTGATTTCTTCCTCCTGCCAGGAAAACCGCACAATTACTTACACCTGCTCTTTGACCAGCGAGAAAATAGAAAGGACCTTGATGATTCGGGATGCCATCCGCAGCCCGGCTAAGCTTGCCGCCTTCGAGCACAGTTCGCGAGCATGCTTCGGGTTTCGAAGGTCTGTACGGTCCAGATCCCCATGTGGTTCGCAGTGGGCGACTGCGGTGGAACGCTGGTGCCTGTACCTTGGATTTCACAATGTCCTTGGTCCCTAGCAGCCTAGCTATGGAGAGCCATTGCTAATTCCCGGCTAGAGTTTCAAGGCTATGGGGAAGGTTCCGCCTTTTTGGGGCCTTTCATTATGCGAAGTCGGAGTGTTGGCCTGAGGTGAGATCTGCGACACGACGGATACGAACCCCGGAGAAACGTCGTGCTCATATTCGGATGACAACTCCACTACGACGGATAGGTGTGCATTGACGGCTACAGGCTGGAAGGCCAGCAATGACAAAGGAGAGGGCACTTATTTGCAGCTGGATCTGGGTTCAGCTCTCAAAGTGGCAGGACGGGCCGTCTTGACCCAGTGACAGTGTCTCATTTCCAGTTTGTGCAGCATTGAGTTACCTTGAGCTTGCCATGAGGAGTGAAGACCAAGGGCCACTCGAACGAGGAAGCATGGCTGAAGACCTACACCGTCGCATACTCCACCGATGGCTCGAGCTGGAATGACGTCTCCGGCACGTTTACGGCCAACACCGACCAGAACACGGAGGTTGAGGCCATGCTGCCGTCCATAGTGGAAGCACAGTGGTGGCTGCTGGTCTGCATGCCGGAGAATCCCCCTTTCTGAGTTGACATCAGACAGCCAAGGCGCATCATCGCGAAGACTTTTCACAATGTAGTGGCAGCTCGAGCTGCGATCATGGTCTGCAGCTCAACCAGTCGCTTGCCTGCTTTTCCATGTTGATGTGTCGCCACATACCTTGTTTCCTGTAAGCACGCGACCTTGATCATGCCAGGTACGAGCACCGATGCGGACTGCCTGTGTGGCTAAGTTGCCGCACCAGCTGAAGAGGCATGCCGAACCGATGTGACCGTGGACTGCATCGATGCTACAGGCTCAAAGTTTCGAACCCATGCGACCATGTGTGCTTGCATATCTTGCATGCTCGTCTGCTTCAGCGGCCCATGCAAGTGTGGGAAGTGCCCGGTCGCATCATCTCGGTTCTTCCCCACGCAGGGACCGCGCAGACACCATCCCTGAGCCCTTCAATCATCAAGGCCCTTGAGCCTTGGCGTGGTTTAGTCTACTTTGGCACGTGGGTTGAACAAAACTTGGTCAGAGGAACGTCTACAAAAGCCATTTTGCTGAGGATTCATCGGAGACTGTCGTAACCTACTCGTGTACCGGGGCTCCTGACTACACGCGGACCGTGAAGATCCGGGATTCGATATCTTTGGTCGGCAGCTCCTCAGTCTTGGTTCCAGGTGGTGTGTCAGGCCGGGCAACTCAACCCTCAGTTGAGCATTCAGGTTTCACAAGAAGGGCTTTGTGTGAAACATGCAGGACAATGGAACGTTGCCTCGAGCGGCACATTTTATGAGACTGGCAGCACATGCATCACGCACGAGGGCGAGGAGCTTACGCCAAGTGTGGACTTGGACTATCTTCCATTCACCACGGAGTTCCCAAGCTGCGATGGAGGGACCATCGGTGGTTGTTTTCAAAAGCTGGCCTACCTGCGAGGCGAACCTACGTCATCAATTACGAGTGTCGAAGACGGGCGGCCCCGGTCCTGCAGCGCACCGTGGAGGTGCGATTTCCCCACAGGCCAGGCCTTGGGCACGAGAGTCAGGGTCGTGAGCTGCTTTTAGGTCGCTTCGTTTAACAAAGTGGATGAGCACCGGGGATTCTCTTTGTCGGAGCCGAGGAACTGAGTTAGGATCCTCTGCGGCGCACTACGAAGATACATGGGCCTGCATGGACTTAACGGCAACGGCACAGAGCTTCCTAGCAGCACATGGAAAAGATGAGTGACTGGCCCCGCATGAGATGCCACCGACTGCAAGGCTCCTCGCGGCTGCCAGTCAGCTCGGACTTTTTCGATCGCTACATCGAGAATTATGTCTCGTACCCATTTCCTTCCTGTGCTACCGGGGTGCCACTAATTGTACGCTCAGGACTGTGGGCATAGCTAGGGCAAGCAAGCTAGATGAACTTGCTGACCATGTGGTTGGGCGTGATTGCCTGCCTACATGCTCTTCTTTAACGATCCTTTTGGGCAATGGCTGCGTTGCCCACTTTTTTGAGTCGTGTATCAGGAGAGACTCGACACCCCATCTTCTTGGCGGGCGACCGGCAGGACTTCACAATGCCGAGATGTGCACCAACCGACTGTCAATTCGCTTCACCCCCGGCTAAGATTGTCAGGAGTTTCACCTGGGGATCAGCTCCTCAGGCACCCCAAGCTTGGGACAATCGGACTTCGACTCCCGTTTCGCGGCAAGCCTCTTTCGCATCATTCGCCGCACTTGCTCATCCTGTGATGCTGGCTTTCAAGATGTCTACTATCGACGTCTCACGGACATGCCAAGTGGCTTCTCTGCTTACAAGCAGATGGCCTGTGAATGGACTGAGACGGACAACAAGGGAGGGACAGACTTCAAGATCTACAGCAGCCTTGCAGATGCTATCGCAGACACGAATGCGTGGTCTGAGTACGGCGGCTTTGGAAGTACGGACGTAGGCTTTCCAGGAACATCGGGCCCTTCTTCTGCGTCAAGTGGCCAGTACAGCAGCATACCCGTATCGGAGTGCTCTTCGTCTTCAACCGCCACTGGTGTGGAGGGCAACTTCTACATATACGTCCCTTGGCCAAGCAAGATTGGCAGTTTCGTTGTGGATGTGTAGTCTTTGATGTCGGCACGTGTCTCAGGACTATGCGTCCTCGGTGGTGCCTGGCACCTGCACCCGAAATGTAGGAACTCTTGGCAGTGGTGCACAGTGCGAGGATGATAATGGGCAGGAGAGTCGATTGGGTTTCCTGATGTTCACGAAGGAATCTCGTGCAACAAGATGGCAATCAACCGCCACGTCCTTTGCGGAGAACTTTGTCTGTGCGCGCTTCACCGGTGTGGAGTGGCAGTATTTGGAAGGGGCCACATGGACTCAGTTCATCCCATACCCAACAGATGTGCTCCTGGCTAGAATAGAGTTCGACAACAACACGATCACGTCGCTGAAAGGATCGGATGAAGAGTTTTACACGGTCAAACTGGGTTTCGTGGATGGGGACTTGGACTTCACGCTCGGCACCAGTTCCGCCACAATCGCCGGTACATCTTTTGTTGCTCGGTGTGGCGAGGATTTGTGGTGCCGCGGTGGTATTCGCCCAAGCGGAACGGATGGAACATCGTACTGCTGTGCAAGTTCCTGCACAGAATGTGGAGGTGCAACTTGTTCCAGCAACGGAGCCTTGGACATCTGCTGCTTGAGCACTCTGCTGGAAGCTGGGCGGATTTGTCGTGACCATGATGATGTTTCATGCTTGATTCCGGAGTCGCGACTCGCTGCAGGTAGTGTTCAGGAGCTTTTCGGATCCTTTGCACCACTTGCTGTAAGACGTTAAACCAGTTCTCCAGCACAGGTCTGTTCTGTGTGGTGGCAGCCTGCAGCTGAATAATTTCGAGTCTGCGGCCACCATGAAGCAGGCTGGCTGGACCATTGACAGTGACAACGACGCCGACCTGTTTTCCCCAGATTCTACACTCAATGGCTGGTACAGGGGCTTTGCTTCGGGCTCCAATGCCGGTGGGATTAGTGTTACCCTCCGAGGATATGGGCAACTCGATCTGGCCTATGGAAATGGGAATTCTGTGTCGGGCACAACCAACCAAGTACAGGTACTCCTCGGCGGCAATGAAGTAGACACCGCTGACTCCACACAGTCAGAAAAGACGGCCACAATCGATTTCACGGATGGGGCTGTCTTGGAAATCAAGGATGCAGGCGATGCCATCATTCTTGTCAAGGGCCTTGCCTTCAAGTGCTTGGTACAGGATTTCTGGCCACGGGTGGTCATCAGAAGTGGAGAGTTTGGTGCGCCGAGCACCTGGACCGCATGGCCTGCGGAGGCCTGCTATCTTGAGGAGGAGTCAACTGGCACTTGGAGCGGCACGGTGAGTGTCAGCAGCGGCTCGATTTCGACTGCCAGCGAAGATCTTTTCCCAGTGACTTATACATGCAGTCGAAACAACATCCCAACAACAAGGACTGTCATCGTGAAAGTTCGGGATCCCATCCAGCTGGTAGGCCTAGAGGCCATGATCGTCCGCCAATCGGCTGGGGCAACCTTGGCAGACCCTGGTGCAGCATGCATCGACCGAGACTTGGTCCCGCTGGCTGTTTCCACTTCACCGTCAAGCATTGCATTGGACAACGTTGGCGAGTACTCTTTCACCTACTCATGTACCGACAGCAGCAGCCGCACTTCCACAAAGATCCGCTATGTCCAAGTTGCACCTGCCATAGAATTGAAGGGGGACGCAGTCATTGTTATCGAAAAGGACAAGACATGGAACGACCCAGGTGTACAGTGTGTTGATGTCAACGGAGGTCTGTTGGCTCACACAGCCAGCCCTTCTCCCGTAGACACAACCTCGGCGGCTACGAATACAGTCACTTATACGTGCTCGGACAGTACTTCCGCAACCCTGACCGCAACCAGGACCGACTTCTCAACGTTTGCACTTATGCTAAGCCGACGTGAAGACTCAAATCTGGCAGTGTGTCAGGCATCTTCATTGAGGTTTGAGGTTTGCTAGGCCGACCGCCTTGGGCCAGATTATGTTCTGCATCCTTTGCAGCCTCGCAAGGGCCGGGCTTGGGCTGCTTGGGCGTGCTGGGGCGGGCAAGGGAGGGGTTCTCAGCACTTATGGGGGTGGCGGCATCATGAGTATCGTCGGACCTCCGCCTTCAGGCTCGCAGGCCTTTAAAGGAGTGCTGGGCTTGGGTTTGGAGTGGTGGTTGGTTGGTGGGTGGGCAGGGTCGCCAATGTGTCCTGGCAGTGTTCTCTAGCTGGCGAGAAAGGTCATGTCAGGACACTCTAGATCAGCAGTAGCCTAGGTTGACGGAATCCTGTCTAGCCGTACTCGCGTTGAAGCCCACACCTAGTTGCGGCTGGCAGGTTCCGCATCACACTTCAGACCTCATCATCTCGTGCATGCAGTTTGGACTGAAGCGTGTATGACAGGATATTGCTTTCGACATTCGTGCATTTACAGCAAACATGAAGAGTTGAGTGGTTGACACAGGGTTGATGGTCATTCTGGCCCACTTCCTTTATGGGTGGCAGGCAGCATCATGAGCATCATTGGACTTCCAAGTGTCCTTGTAGCACTACCCTGAGAAACCCGCAAATTCTGCCGGCTCCCTGGAGCGAGAACCCAAGATGTGCTCGGAATCCTCGTTGGTCGTTGGCAATCGTTTGAGGGAGGTCCCTCCACAACCAGCATGTATAGCTTTGGTCCACTATGCGCCGTTTCTTGGAGGATCAACGTAGGATCTGCTACCGGGTGTCCACGCAGCCGTTCAAAGACAATGGTCTTCAACAAGCTTCGACCGTGGCTGCCCCACCTCAGTTCTGCTGCTCCTGTCCCCGGTTTCCGTTGGGTTCGACTGAGATTCTCATGGCCCCGCGTCCCGTGTCAGTGAGCTCTCCAAGGTTTCCGTCTTGGAGTGTATCGTCGTGCTGACAAGACTTCGCCTAGGGGTTGTCTCAACGGATACTCGCAACTCAAAGAGGAGACTGCAAGCTTGCATCCCGTTGACACATCTCGCCACAAGCACATGCATCCTAAAATGCTATGCCGCAGCAAGACCGCAGCAAGTTTGAGCCTTCTGGCCATCATCATGACGAGGGTCCCAAGTCGGCCAGGATTCGCACGTTACAAAGTTGAATGCATCAATGGGGATCAAAAAGTTTGGTTTTGCCATGTGCAGCAAGCAACACTGCGTTGCGAGTCGCGGCAGCCACACACTTGAAAACAATTGCCTTCAGGACCGTAATTGCGGTCTGCCCGGAACCATTGTTCAGGGTCCCAGTTCTGGCATTGTCCTACTTCTCGGTGCCTCGGTGCACACCAAGTCAGTTTTTGAGTATAGGGCGCTTTTTCTGAAATAGACTGGATGGGTTCAGGGGCCCTGTCAGGGCCTGTGTTTTTCCTGACTCCCAGTGCCGAGGAGAGACGTTTCAGGATCCTGGGGTGTGCTGTAAGGATAGCCACAATCAGGTATTGCCCTTCTCCAGCATCTTGAATACCGCGCATTCCGACTGGAGCGGGTTGCAAACGCTCTTCTACAGCTGTACAAGTTTTGATGTGTCTGAAAGTGCCGTGCGGACTCTCACCGTCAACAACGTGCCAAAGATCTTCCTCACAGGTGATGCTGAAACACTGTCGGTATTGGATAACCTATATGTAGAGGCTGGGGCAGTTTGCACAGATATTGAGGATGGCCTCATAACAGCTTGGGGAGCGACTGGCTTGGGGTCTGCGCAGAAGCTGCCTGTGCTGAGAGCGGGTGCAAGTGGGACGGTGACATCGGGCGCAGCAGAAAATATTATCGATGGCGACGAGGCGAGCTCAGTCACTCAAGCTTGCGAGTCCTGCGTAGAGGTGCCACAGTCGGTGTATTTGTGGGTGGACCTGGGTGCCGGCAAAGTTGTCCACCAGTATGCACTGGCTGGAAGCGTGTCCGGAGCCAGCATTTTAGTCGGGCCGGACATTAACGTCGGTCCTGCTTGCAAGACTGGCATCACGACCTCGCTTGGGAGTTCTTCGATAGTGGAGTGCGATGCTCCTTTGGCCGGCCGCTTCGTTACGCTGGTTGGGTCTGGTTCCTCCGCTATGAAAGTGTGCGAGCTCACCATTTACGGCACGGTCGGACCCGCAGCACCTGCTAGAATCAATATCACAGGTACACCAGCAAGCTGCACTGGAGTTGATGCTGTCGCACTGGAGCTAGCAGGACACAACGACAGCGCCTTGGGTGTCATGTACTCTACGCAGATGCCTGGCTCCAACAATGAGTTACGGACAGATCTAGGCACGGGACCTCATCTACAGACAGAAGCTGTGGCCGGCAAAACTGTGGGTACTCCTGGTTCCGAGCGATGGGTGCTGCGCGACTCAAAATGGGTAGAGCAGGCCTATGCCAGTGGAGGAGAGAGCTTTCCGCCATTGGATGGAAGCCAATGGACTATTTCCGGCACAGGTGCGACTTGCACGGGCCTCTCCTTTGCGATCGATCCCGAAGACTCGTGCAGCTGGCTGTTCGGGCCATCCAGCGCCGATGACCAGCAGCTCAGCCGAATCTTCGCAGATGGTGCACCCGAGGTCTCCTGGCGCTTGCCTGTGCAGTAGTTCGCCGGATCCAAGGTATGGCTGTGGGGATAGCAGCGAGTGCAACACAGAGGGCTGCTGCTCCACGGCGGGTGGCCTTGCACGATGTCCGCCCAATCTCCCGAGGATGTGCGAGGCACAGACCTGTGGCAGCCACCTGCATGACTGGAGCTTGTTTTGTTTGCATGTCACTGGCGATGTATAGTCGAAGAGTTGTGGTGTTTGATGATGTGCTGATGTGCAACATCTGAGGCGACTACTGCTGCAAAACGGATTGTATCATGACTGAATCGTACGTCGCACCCTACTGTCGTAAGTTATGGTGTCAGATGCTCCCTGCTGGCTGCATTTCAGTAGTCGCGACTGTCGAGTGACACGGGTCTTTGCTCAGGTGCCTCTCACAGTGGGAACCGCTTGTGCAAGCAAAGCTCCCTGCCTGCTGTTACCAGCACTGGAAGCTCCACACTGGCGCGGATGGAAGTGGTGAATTCCGTCTTGCCCAACGACCCTGCAATCTACAAGGTGACGTACACTTGCGCCTGGGATGAAATCGGAGTGGACTGTGGGCTCTGTGGACTCTAGTCCGGATGTGCATGCCTAGCCCAGGCTATGATTCGGCGGGTGCGCATGTTTCTGTCACGAGAACCGTGGAAGTGGGATGTGAAGATCCAAACCCTGGTGGAACCTATGGCGGCAACCGCGTTGCTTGCAGCACGATTTATAAAGAGATGCATGGCGCAGCACCTGGTGAGGTTTTCCTAGTGTGCTCCTGTTGTACTCATAGAAAGCGACTCGTGAAAACGGCCACTGTCTAAGGACAGAGAACGTTGCGAACTATGATGCCTGTGAGACTCTCTGCTTGTCGGCGAACAGCACCGAATGTGTGGCCTACTCTTTCTTCACGAATGGCACCTGTCAATTTCTGACGCTCTGCACAGGCCGGGGTTGGTATTTCAGAGGTTCAGCTCTTCTGCTGTTTGTTGCATACTACTGAAGTCTGTGCAGGGCGCTATTTCATGATCATCAACGGCACTGACCGGCATGTGGCATACTGCAGACGCGTGGACACAGCTCCCAGCATTTACCTCGAAGATGGTGTCAGCTGGTTCCTCTTGGGTGCTACAACTTACAGCCTGCCGAAGGTGAGCTGCTCTGATTCTGAAGATGCTGGAAACATGGGAGACCCGACGGATAACATCAACAGTGTCGTGGATGTGAACACGGCTGGGAATTACATTGAGCCCTTGCTGAATTTAAATTACGTGTCATGTTCTCGGCACCTTAGGTTTTGAGCCTTTCTGGTTGGGACAGGTGTTTGCATGCCATCCTGCCTGCAGGTAACATACACGTGCACGGACAGCGCCGGGCAGTCAACAACTGGAACACGGACAGTCACAGTAAAGGCAAACTGCTCGGTGCCTACAGTCGTGAATCAGAACGACACCACCGGGTACTGTGTGGAAGGGACGACGTTTGCTCATGGCACCACGTGCACGTCCATGGCTCAGCATGATGCAATGTCGCTGTGTAGAAGAGAAAGGTCAGTAGCAGCTGCACTCGGATCGGCTAAGGGGCGCCTGCAACTTTGGCTATGCGCCACGCAATCCAACTCATACCTGCACAACCAAGTCAGACACCGATTACGAGTCTGCGTTTGATCCCTCTCTTGCCACTTGGCCTGCAATTCAACAGAAGCTCGCGAGACCTTGAGCCGATCAGAGATGCTAATGACTAATGTTCTGCAGCCAGCGTGATGTGTTGGTTTTTCTACATCATGACTATATTACTATATGGTGAAAATACATTCTGGGTAAAGTCTGGGTCCAGAGGCCCTCGAAGTCGGGCAGGCCTTGTCAACTTGCACAACGTGCGTAAGGCTTGAGTTGTTGTAAAGTGCACCTCAGACACCTTGCAAGCCTCATCTTCGCAATACCATGGTCCGCGCTCCGCGCCCTCAAGCGCTACAGAAGATTCCCCAGCTGGAAGCTGCCGGCTTGATGCCAACTGTGGCATGCGAGACTGCCTCAGTGATGCAGGTCGTCGGGAGACTGCGCTTCGTGTTGCTGGCTTCTTCGGCAGACCGTGAAAGCGGGCAGGACCGGTAGCCGCGTGGACAGCCTGGGCAGGTACAGTCGATGCAAAGGTCAAGGAGAAGAGGCAAGACAAAGATGTCTTCCAACTTGGCTAGTGCACCCGATCCGCATCTAGTCCCTGCATTCCCTCCCCGGCCATGCCAGCGGGCCCTTCGCCGCCTGGGCCGAGCACTTCCAGCTTTGGCGGTGCGGAGCCCGAGCCATCTCTGGGAGTGCTGCTGTGACCCTTGGCGCTTCGATATGCACGGCCACAGAGCCCTCTGCTTCACCAAGAGTGACTGGGAGGTGCGGTTCTGCTGCTCTGACTTGCAGGATGCAGACCAGTTTAAGAGGATGTGGCTCCGGGTCATGTCTGCGAGGCCGAGCACCAGGCCCGATTTCTCTGTTCCAAACGTGGGCAGCCGCGAGTATGCCTTCGTCACGTATCACAAAACTGGTACGTTTGTAGCAACGCAGCTAATCGGCTATGACGAGGTGCCAGGTCCCTTTGCATCTGTGCTTTTGGGCGCAAGCACGAGGAAGCACTTCGATTATGACCTCAGAGGGCAAAACTCCACCATTTTCAACTCTTCCGTTGAGTATACGGAAACATTCATGCGCGTCAGTTTGCAAGGCCGCCTGGTGTTGATCTATAATCCTTTGGAGCACGAGATAAAGCAAGATGTGCGTTTCATCTTGTCAACGGGCAAGATCGTCCACTTCATCCGCCGACCGAGCAGCATTATCATCTCGGGGTACATGTACCATCTGAAAGGCTCCAAGTACGAGTATTGGCTTCACGCCGCGAACCCCCCGAACTGCCACCACTGCGACTATGAAGCTTGGGAGAAGATATTTCGACCCTGCGACTTCGGATGCACATACTTGCAGCGGTTGGAGGCGGAAGATTTGAAGCAGGGCCTTCGCCTCGAGGTTTTGCGAGCACGGTGGACCATCGTCAAGATGCTGCAGAACTGGAACCGCTGGAAAGATCTGGCGAATGTTCTTCATATCTCAGCTTCAGAATTCCTGGCCAACCTGACTTCGGCCCTTGGGAAAGTTGCCCGCTTCTTCGAGCCTCGTATGCCCAGCCACATGCTCACGCGGCTGCTTGCTGCTTCGATCGAGTCAGGCCTTGATCCGACGGGTGCATTGAAAGGCTGCTCGAGCAGAAGGTGTAAGGCGGCGGTGGAGTTCGCTTTGAGGCACTCGTCGGCCACTGCCAATGAGACTCTCCAGAAGAGCGCCCGAGAGATGTTGCCATCCATCGAAGAGTGGCGAGCTGACATTGCTCCCGCAGATGCCTTTTACGATGCCCTCTGGTCACGAGCGGGACGTTGACAACATTGCAAAGGCAGGCAGTCCTGGGGTGAATTCGCAGAATTCCAGGAACCCTACTGACACGTAACAGCATTTCCAAGGCAGGAGATCGAAGAAGCGTGTTCAGCATGTTCAGCGAGCATTCTCTTCGGGACAAAACAGGATCTCGCTTCCTTTTCCATGACATCACATGGGTTGTGGCAGCCTGCAAAGCATCTTTGCCTGCAGCCGAGATCTTGTGCGATGTCCTTCCTTGCAACGAGCCCTCCGTCGCGAATTCTGCTGTCAGTCCTACGGATGGCAGCATGTCACGCAAGCCGTAGCTGTGCGGTCTGCACGAGCTTTGCATAGCTCTCTGGCTTTACGCCTTGCCACGCTGTCAAGGCCAACCGAAGGCCTGTCAAGAGAGCAATACCGCCCGTGGCTAGGAAGCAGTAGTTTCCACGTCGGCACTTGTCTTTCTGGGCGGCAGCAAGAGGTGAGATTCCGGATTCCAGCGCACCTTGGCAGATTACCCTCCTGAAGCATGTTGCTTAGTTGCTTGATGGCGAAGCTGCCGGCATCAAAGCTGGTGAGTCCAAGGTGTGCACTCCGCAGTGTGCCGATGGCTATGTTCCGCGGGTTCCAGGTGTTGGTTCGGGTGCTACGCTGGCCTGCTCAGCCAAGATTTTGGACCCACCGACCTTTGTGTGTGACCTGCCGGTGCTGATACAGGGGTGCTTTGTCGGTGCTTTGCGGAGGGACATCCCCTCGTGCCGCAGAGACAGCTTTGCAAAAAAGGTGAGCTGCCGGCCGCCTCTCCGTTGTCGATCTTCGCGCCTTCCAGACCCAAGCCAGAAGGCGCTGTGGATATCACGCGCCTTGGCTGTTGAAGGATGTCCTTCGATCTGAATCTAAGTGGTGTCCTCATTTGCATGAGGCTCCAGTTGCACTGAGGCTCCAGTTTGCTACTGGCACGGCCAATGATTGCGCTTGGTCTGGCGGTCCAGCTGCAAAAGCTGCAACTCACATGTCTCGGGCACTTTGTACGCAGACATGCACCGGTGCAGCGAGGATTCATCTTTGAGGGCAAGGAGGTAAAAAGCGGCGAGACCACGACCTATGGCGAGATGGTCGGATGTGAAAACAGCCCCTCACCAGAAAGGGTGCATGTGGATGCAGATTCGGGGACACGAAGCCCGCTCGCTGTTAAGGCCTCTTCACGGCCCGAGATGTGGTAACATGCATGGCGACCGGCTTGACGGAGGGTGGTGGCAACCTGAGCTTGCCCTGCATGTCAAAACTGGAATTCAGTTACAGTGCAATTGCGCCCAGGTGATTACCAGTTTCGTGTCATGGAGGTTTGTACTGACACAAACATGAACAGCCCGTGGACCGAATCTGACGCTCGATGTGCTGTGGGCTCTGGCACTTTATTATTATTGGCCTTCGTTGTAATGTGTGAGCTGTGAGCCATCAAAACACTGAGACTCCCAGAGTTGACACAGGAAGTGTTCACCCTGCGGTTCGTCATCGTCCCAGCTCCTGGTTCGGCAATCCGGAGAGCATAGGTTTCCGAGCGCAGTAGGCCCAACACCAACCAGGGTGAGCCGAGGACATTTTGCTCCTGCTCCCAGAGGGTGATCAGTACAGCGCCGTTAGCCAAGTGCTCCTCGCAATGCAGGTGCTGGGTGCCTTCATTGTGCAGATGTGTGTATGTTCAATGCGTACATACATACCTAGTTGCATGCATGCGTGCGGGCATGCGTAGTTCAGATTGTTGGAATGGTCGCAGTCGCACAGCTGAAATGCCGCCGTGCGCCGGGCAAATCCTCTGGAGTCCAGACGCAGAAGAAAACCTGCATGTGCACATGCATACAAACATCCCTCCATGCATGCGTACATTTCACACATACGCGTGCGCAGACACAGACACAGACACAGACACAGAGACAGACACAGATTCCAACACAGAAACAGGCACAGCGACAGAGACAAACGCAGACGCAGACACATAACCACACGGAGACACTTGCGCAATCCTCCCTCCGATTGATATCTGTCTCAATGTACTTCCTACTTTCAGAGCCGAACACAGACAGCCACTAGGCAGTACAATGAGGCCCCTGGCCAATGAAAAAGAGACTGCAGGTACGTCCAGGTGATGAGCCTGGATATCCTCCCAACTCAAGAGTAGCTTCGTTGGCAACGGGCTCTTGAGTGGGCCACTACCGCCTGCTAAGATGCAAGACACTCAGAGATCCTTTCCAGTCCTATCCCTTAGGGGCTCCGGGTTGCATACACACAAAAAGCCACAAGGGCATGTGTGCAGCAGAATTGGCTACAACTCTTGAACAGGGAAAGAACAACAGTCAGATTGTTTTAATCCTTGGCATCTGGGCAACTCTTACGAAAAAAACTGGCTCCAACGTCGTGAAGGCTGTAATGGGCTCAGTAAATAGATTACGACTCAGCCGGAAATCCTGCTTGCGCCGCGGTTCGTTTCATGGCAGCATGTGATGCAATGAACTTTTGATCCAAGTTGCTGATCACACACATAGAAAAACTCTCAAGAAAGCAAACGCACTCACCGATTGTTTTTGCCAACCGACGGATTATGTGCGAAAAGTATAAGTTGGAAATGGTTACCGACGAAAAGAGTTGGCTGCAGAACCCGTACTATATAGATCTTAGATGGCCGCTGCGGTGGAGCCGTCAGCGGCACTTGCTGATCCAGGAAACACGGGATTACCGTGATCAGCTTGGGTACGTAGATGGCCGGTGTTGCTCGCTTGTTGTGGTAAGCCTTGGGTAGATCTTGCTTGCCCATGGCTGGGGAGGCAGCAGATACAGGGATGCGAGCTTCAGAAACCAAAAGACTGCGATAAGATATGTCTGCCTGGCATAATGCCGTAAGAAAGGTGCACAAACTCTAGCTCATGGAATTTGGCTTGCTGCTGAAGACAATGACTCTCATTAGAGCTTTGTTGGGTGCCTTAAACCCACTCAATAATGACAAGAATCGGTCTTCGTGAGGGAAATGCTGTCACACATTGGAGATTTGAAAAATCTCATGGTGGGGGGACGACCACACCGACACGATACAGTATGTGTTCAGCAGTCAACTGTACCAGTTGTTGAACATTGTCAGTGCTCCAGACGACGAGATCTAAGCCAAGGTGACCTTCGTAAGGTACAAAACGGTCAATGGCCACATACACAGAGCCAACCACATCTCCTAAGCACTGTTCAAGAGCACGCCCATTTTACTTGGTATTTTCAGGACTTTCGTGCCAAGGATGATGATGATGATGAGGATGATGATGATGATGATGGGTTTGGGCACCAGGTGGTTGGTAGGAGGGGGGGGTGGCTAGTAGTAGTAGTAGTAGTAGTAGTAGTAGTAATTCAATTCACACGCTGCACCCGATCCGATGCCTCGCGAAGGACAAGCGCTAAGCGCCCGGCAACTCTG